TTAGGCTTTTTCCTGTGAGTAAGTTTTTTTCTATTAAAAACCAAACCCGTATACCCTCCCAGCACAATATCCAAAACGCTGTGGTTAGACCACACACAATCCTAAATCCTAATATTTTTTTGATGTGACAATCACGATTTTTTCTGTATGTAAAGCTGAAATATATCATACAATTGAAAATAAATTAAATGAAATATCATTTACGTTTTCATAGGGTGGGTTTTAGTTCAAAATGCTTCGATTTATTTCAAATGATAAAAAGAAAATAAAACATGGTTTCAATTTTCTTGATTAGTTTAATTTTTTGTTTGAGTATTGGGTGAATATGTTAATTACAAGTGACCAGGATATACATATGGATTTCACTAGAAAACACCTAAACCAGTCACAACTTGCATTGAGCTGCCTGAGACAATCTAAAACATTTCGTACTTTTTATGACAATCTGAGCGTTCGACCTATTTGTAAAAATCTGGTGAGTTTTCGACCTGTTGGTAATAATCTGGTGAGTTTTCGACCTGTTTGTAAAAATCTGGTGAGTTTTCGACCTGTTGGTAATAATCTGGTGAGTTTTCGACCTGTTTGTAAAAATCTGGTGAGTTTTCGACCTGTTGGTAATAATCTGGTGAGTTTTCGACCTGTTTGTAAAAATCTGGTGAGTTTTCGACCTGTTGGTAATAATCTTATCGTATTGGAATTTTTGTGACAACCTGAGTATTTCAACCTATTGGTGAAAACCTAAGCGTTCGACCTATTTGTAACAAGATGCATGATTCATCCTGCTCCTGAAAACCTGAGCGTTCGACCTATTTGTAACAAGATGCATGATTCATCCTGTTCGTGAAAACCTGAGCATTCGACCTATTTGTAACAAGATGCATGATTCATCCTGGTCGTGAAAACCTGTGCGTTTCGATCCCTTGTTAACCTGAGCGTTTCGACCTATTTGTAACAAGATGCATGATTCATCCTGTTCGTGAAAATCTGAGCGTTCGACCTATTTGTAACAAGATGCATGATTCATCCTGTTCGTGAAAACCTGTGCGTTTCGATCCCTTGTTAACCTGGGCGTTTTTGACCTATTTGTAACAAAATGCATGATTCATCCTGTTCGTGAAAACCTGTACGTCTCGATCCCTTGTTAACCTGAGCGTTTCGACCTATTTGTAACAAGATGCATGATTCATCCTGCTCGTGAAAACCTGTACGTTTCGATCCCTTGTTAACATGGGCGTTTCGATCCCTTGTTAACCTGGGCGTTTCGACCTGATGGTAACAATCGACATGTTTTCACTTGCTGGTGATGATCTTGATGTTTCAACCTGCTGGTGCGGTCTGACTGTGTCAATCTAACCATTCGACCTAATGGTTGCGATCTCTACATTTTGACATGGTGGTTGGTGACAATAATAGCTCTGTGCTTATCTGAACATTTTGAACTGTTTGTGACCATCTAAGTGTTGCAACCTCTTGGTGTCAATATCAGCATTTCTACTGTTAAATGAAAATCTGAGCGATTTCACCTATCAATGACAATCCGATCGTTATGACTTTTTTGTGAAAACCCTTTCGACCTGTTAGTGACAATCGAACTGTTTCAACCACCTGCCAGTAACAGAATGTTAAAACCTCTATTATCGCGGTGTCGCTGACAACTTTGGTGTTTCAACCTGATGACAATCTGAACATATCACCTTGTTGGTGACTATGTTACTGTTTCAACCTCTTTGTGACAATCATACCGTTTCGGCGTACTGGTGACAATCTGAGGAATTCGACATGCCGTCGACAATCTTAGCTTATTCGACCAGTTAGAACAAATTGATTCAAACCATGTTTCCACGATAATCCAACGTTTGTTGCACTTTTTACCTACTAAACTTTAAGTTCAACAAGCATAACACGTAACGGATGATTGAAGACATGTCAACTTTAGCAATCTGAGGCTGACTTTCAACCGTTCATTCTGCCTAACTTTATAAGGCTACTGGATCATACATCTTTCTCTTTTTAGAGGCTAAAAATAGTGTTGTAATTTGAAGCTAGGATAGCCTTGGGAGTCATCTCTTGGTACAGCAGCTAGGTTACGTGAGCAGTAAGCAGTCACGTACTTTAACCAAAACGTGTTTGATGTGACTCTTCATTCCAGGACTGTATCAGACATGCGGTTGTGTCGTACAAGGTGAAACCCTCGCACTTAGTCACATAAGTCACATGGTTTGTAAACATGCGGGGATATGATGTTGTTCTAACAGATTTAAAACGAGGTTAAAGTAAATATTAGGCCGGTCCACTTATTATTTAATATAACACAAGGTTACTTGTGTCAGAACCTATCATTGTATCTAAATACATCTCACGCGTCGTATCCATGTCAAGTAGGTACATAAACAGATGAAGTTCGCTGATCCCTTTTCAGATTTGAAAATTAAGTAAAGTGAGACGTAGTAACGCACGCGCATTTCACATAGCGCCGTCCGGGGTTCGATTCGCGGAACAGACGTGGAAAAGTATAGGGTCACCTGTCTGACCACCAGGGTTTCCCCTCCGGTACTCCGATTTCCTCCCACAGTAAGACCCCGACCCCCGCCCCCCTCCTCCCCACCCCCACCCCCACCCCCACCCCCACCCCCACCCCCACCCCCACCCCCACCCCCACCTCCTCTCCTTTTTTGTGTTTCCTCCTTGGTCCAACAAGAGTGATTTATAGAAAATGGTAGTTAGTTTCGCAAGAGTAAAATAAGAATAAAATAAGTGAAGTATATATTTAATTCCATTTGTGACCATGAGAACAGGGGTGATAACCCCCGCCTATATTCATCGTAAAATTAAACTACAGTGGTTTCAGTAATAAAAACCTAATACATGTACATTTCGTGTTTTTATAACTGCCCCTTCCGGTCACACCGTTCATTGATGATACTCGGTTAAAGACGATTAAGCCTGTGTGTATATATCACGTGGTTCCCGAGGAAATACTGTTACGTACTACATGTTTCTCGCCGCTTTTTATAATAAATCAATAATGACTTTAGCAGGTGTGTCTCACGAAACATGAAGTGTAGGAAAAACAGATTAGTTTTAAAATCTTATATTCATTGAGATTTTACGATAAAACACTGTAACATCTGAGACAGGACAATCAATGACTTACCTAAACACAGAATTAGGAGGTGCCATTGGGGGTCACTATGGCACTTAAAACAAGACGTTCAAGGAAAGAAAATGCGCATGCGTGTTATGAACGGCACTGCTTTAATCAGAATATATTACATGTTAACTACTCATTCAAGCATAGCCCACGTGCAGCCTTACCAATGGAAAATCTACAATAATAGACATTCCTTTCCTCAAGACATAAAGAAAGACGGACGTACATATACGTACGGAAGGACAGACAATGATAGCCGCAGTCTTCAGACAGATGGCAGACCTCCAGTGGAAGAATACTTTGATGTAGAAAGACGAGAGCCCTCCCACGGTGGAAATAACGTTATTTATATCTATTTTCCACCTGAACGCGTGTCGTGAAATTGGATTAACGACATACTAACATCCACAGTATATTAAACTTAATACGGTAACATAGCGAATGGAATGGTCACGGTATTTAATGTTACGTCATATTCTCGCGAGAGGTAAATGTCTTTGAAATGGTGGCTGTGCGTAATTCTGACTGTTGCAGCATGAAATTTGATTTTGGATTTGACTTTAATGACGTAACATTTTTTATGTGTTAATGGCCACGTTTTTAAGCAATAAATAAAAATATGTCGATACGAATTTCAGCATGTGATTTGTTGATAGATTAGTCTCGTATTGACAAGATTGACAGCCACAAGTCTCATCACAGATTTTAGATACAAAGACATACAAGTACCTTTATTTTGGATTAGACAGAACATTCTGTATTGGTGGTAAAGATGTCCATGTTTCTATTACTGTATTTATTCAAGTTTCAAACACTTTAAAAATATTTCCCATCTAATCTAAGCTTTAAAACGTTTCTGAAATTTAATGAATTAACAAAAAAAAACAAAAACAAAACAAAACAAAACAAAAACAGTCGATAAATTTGAAGTGGAGTCATTTTATGGATAAGAAGTTCGCAGGTAGGGTACATTCTAAATCCAAGGGTTTCACCATCGATGGCACATAGAGTGAACATTTGTAAAATGTGTATTGGTAATAATGCCGAATTATTGAATACATTATCAACTGAACTAAAAGTCAATTGTAATGTAAATGCTTACTTTCAGAAAAGAAAACGACCAATAATGTTATTTGTTACTTGTGCTTTTCAAGGTGATTAATGATTTTCTAAAAGATTTCTCTGAATCATGGATGCATTTAGGACGGGCTTAAGAATTGTATCTACTTTCATTTTTTTCAGAATTGTTTAAAAAGGCATTATAAACTTTAAATATACTTTGATATCTTAAAACAATCGTGATATTGTTTTGTAACAATCACTGTCTAAATTTACAAGAAATAGATACTTTCATAATAAGTCGAATGACGTTCGCCCTTGAAGAAGTAACGTTGTGTTATAAAAGTTTGAACAATATATACTGTAGGTTGTACAGTTATTTTCAATCGTGTCAATTCAAAAGAATGAATATACTCTCACGTTTTCTACTAATGCTGTGAAACATTAGAACACGATATATAAAGAGCCAGATATATTCGTCCGTTGGTGCTGGAAGTAGATCCTTCTTTTGTATGTTTGGGCGGCCTTTCTACTCCATACTATCTTTCACGAGCGTCACTTTTATCGCTATCATGCATTTCTTTAACACGCACAATTATATACCATGTTGTCAATGACAGGGGTTTCAGTCTCTGAGTTTTATCTCATGAACGAATTAATGTTAAGTGTTTGAGTAATAGAAAAGGCGCACGCTGACATAAACTCCGCGATGTTATTTTGTAAAGATTTACCGGTGGCTCGGGTTGTATCCGGGTTGTGTTGTGTCCTAAGTCAAGGTATCGATTTGTTCTTAATTAGCATGAAATGTAGCATTGTGTCCGTAACCAGTATCCGGTGTAGCATTGTGTCCGTAACCAGTATCCGGTGTAGCATCGTGTCCGTAACCAGTATCCGGTGTAGCATTGTGTCCGTAACCAGTATCCGGTGTAGCATTGTGTCCGTAACCAATATCCAGTGAAGCATTGTGTCCGTAACCAGTATCCGGTGTAGCATTGTGTCCTTTACCAGTATCCGGTGTAGCATTGTGTCCTTTACCAGTATCCGGTGTAGAATTGTGTCCTTTACCAGTATCCGGTGTAGAATTGTGTCCTTTACCAGTATCCGGTGTAGAATTGTGTCCTTTACCAGTATCCGGTGTAGCATTGTGTCCTTTACCAGTATCCGGTGTAGAATCGTGTCCTTTACCAGTATCCGGTGTAGAATTGTGTCCTTTACCAGTATCCGGTGTAGAATTGTGTCCTTTACCAGTATCCGGTGTAGAATTGTGTCCTTTACCAGTATCCGGTGTAGAATTGTGTCCTTTACCAGTATCCGGTGTAGCATTGTGTCCTTTACCAGTATCCGGCGTAGAATTGTTTCTTTTACCAGTATCCGGTGTAGCATTGAATCCTTTACCAGTATCCGGGGTTAGTTAGCACATATCATTACAATGTATTCAACTTACCTAATCCTGGATAGTTTACGTCCCTAGACAGTATTTGCAGTTGATTTTTGAGATTCCCCAGCCAATATCCGGGAAAGTGCGTTGTCCTAAACCGATCTTCCGTGTAGTTTTGTGTTTCCAGTCAATATCCGGGAAAGTGTGTTGTCCTAAACCGATCCATAGTGTAGTTTTGTGTTTCTAGCCAATATCCGGGAAAGTGTGTTGTCCTAAACCGATCCATAGTGTAGTTTTGTGTTTCTAGCCAATATCCGGGAAAGTGTGTTATCCTAAACCGATCCCTAGTGTAGTTTTGTGTTTCTAGCCAATACCCGGGAAAGTGTGTTGTCCTAAACCGATCCATAGTGTAGTTTTGTGTTTCCAGCCAGTATCCGGGAAAGTAATTAGTCGTCCCTAACCAGTATTTGAGTTATTTTTTTCTATATTCTTAGTCAGTATTCGGGATAGAATTGAGTCCCCAGTCAGTACCACACTGACGTGGTTAAGTAGCGCCCTCATCGTTAACCAGTATCCTGTGTAGAGCCCGTGAGCATTTTCGTCTGCAGTCACTATCCCAAGTTGTGTAGTGTTACATTCATTTCCATAAATTATACAAGACTATTTTCAACAAGTATTTTTTTTCCTTAAATAGTACCCCAGTGACTGTTGTGAGCACGGCGTCCGCTTTTCACTATTATTTTGCGTTGCAATAATTTAAAACTTGTGGTTAAAATTTAGAATATTGAATATTTAAGTAACTAAAAAAATATGGCATATGAATCAAACGATACACAACGCTGAACATATTGGTTTGACACCAATATTGAGGTTTTCAAAAAATGAAATGAATATATAGCACGAGTAATAATTGAACAAAAGTTGTCATCGATCGAAAAAAAAAACTATAGAAACTGAAAAAATCCCAGGGGAGATACGCGCGACATATATGTCATTTTTTTAAGATATAGGACGATTGTGTGTTACAAGGGTTTATGTTATCAGCTTATGGTATATATTAAAGTATACGTATACTTAGTGTGCTTTTATATATAACTGGGGTTTATGATTCAAATATTCAATTTGTGTTACACTTCAGGACCGTGCAGGACATTTTCACATTGTGATCGCCATTCATTACATGTATTGGATCTAACCATTTCACCTATGTCGAATTTCATTTACGTAATTGTTTAAATCTCAAGCCATATTTGTTTTTGTAAAAACACTCTTCATTTGGGTTCAATTAAACTTTATACCAACTTAACAATTTATTTCACTTTGGTTGTTTATCTTTTATTTAACTAGTATTTGTTCCGAGCACTTTGTGAACAGCACTTGAAACCAATGTGACGTCACCATAACGTTACGTCATTATGACGTCACATGGTCAGAGACTGACAATGGCGATGCACTTACTTCCGTATAATTCTTTCACTACAAGAATGAGTCGTGATATATTTATTATACTAATTTCAGAATGAACACCACCGTGGAGACGACGACACTTCACTATGACAACGTCACTGATCACACCAAGAAGTATCACGTTGTCGAACATGAGTCTGCCATTATCTTCTTCATATTTTGCAGCTGTGCTGTTGGAGGTAATGCTATTCAGTGTGGTTGTCTCCTCTACATCCAATGCTGATAAGTTGACATGCGAACACAGTATAGCTGTATCCGGAAACATTACAACCACCGTTGTTTTACTATCCCTGGATTTTACAATTTCAGTTGAATGTCTACGGATTTATATATCTTTTTCCAAACCATATTGACATGATCAATCACCTACCTTTTTTTTGAAAATCTGGTTACGATAGTTTAATACAGATATTTACAATGGTTGTCTCCCTTTGCCCCAACACGCGCGGGGGAGGTGTTCTATCAGTTTTTGATGTTATATTTATCTTTAAATGGCTCCAAAATTGACAAAAACGAAAAGTGTGTTTATGAAAAATCGTGAAAATATTGGATACAGAATGATGTATTGATAAACATTTTTAAGGAAGTTTAGAATGCCATATACTCATGGAATCATTAATTGTTCCTAATTATAACTGGTTTTCCTTTACATGTAGTCCTGGTCCGTAGAGTCATCCAGAGCCTCAATTTGCGAATGCCTTACACAGTGGTACTCCTTGTACTTGGAGTATTGTTTGGGCTTCTATCTGGTCACGACAAAAGAATACATGAGTACGCTGGTGTGGTCAACATAGATCCTCATCTTTTACTCAACATATTTTTACCTGTACTCATCTTTGAATCTGCCTTTGCGATGGAGGTGCACACATTTATGAAAACATTCATTCAGGTTGTCCTGCTTGCTATACCTGGCCTAGGTGAGTAACTGATTAATAACTAATAAGGTATATGACATGAACTGATAGGTCCTACATCTGAATTTTCCTATGTAAGACTACATGAAAGGTTAAGACGAAGAAAAATAATGTTTTGATTTTTCTTTGAAATTAAATATTCTAAAAAGAACACCCTGTAAAAGGCCGGTGTTTTTGTTATAGCCTTTGCCTCACATTATAACTGTATATTGTGTCTCAGTCCTTTCCTCACATTATAACTGTATCTTGTGTCTCAGTCCTTTCCTTACATTATAACTGTATCTTGTGTCTCAGTCCTTTCCTCACATTATAACTGTATCTTGTGTCTCAGTTCTTTCCTTACACTATAACTGTATCTTGTGTCTCAGTCCTTTACATTATAACTGTATCTTGTGTCTCAGTCCTTTCCTTACACTATAACTGTATCTTGTGTCTCAGTCCTTTCCTTACATTATAACTGTATGTTGTGTCTCAGTCCTTTCCTTACATTATAACTGTATCTTGTGTCTCAGTCCTTTCCTTACATTATAACTGTATCTTGTGTCTCAGTCCTTTACATTATAACTGTATCTTGTGTCTCAGTCCTTTACATTATAACTGTATCTTGTGTCTCAGTCCTTTCCTTACATTTTTACTGATTCTTGTGTCTCAGTCCTTTCCTTACATTTTAACTGTATCTTGTGTCTCAGTCCTTTCCTTACACTATAACTGTATCTTGTGTCTCAGTCCTTTACATTATAACTGTATCTTGTGTCTCAGTCCTTTCCTTACATTATAACTGTATCTTGTGTCTCAGTCCTTTTCTTACATTATAACTGTATCTTGTGTCTCAGTCCTTTACATTATAACTGTATCTTGTGTCTCAGTCCTTTCCTTACATTTTAACTGTATCTTGTGTCTCAGTCCTTTCCTCACATTATAACTGTATCTTGTGTCTCAGTCCTTTCCTTACATTATAACTGTATCTTGTGTCTCAGTCCTTTCCTTACATTATAACTCTATCTTGTGTCCCAGTCCTTTTACCATTTTACCTGTATTTTGTGTTACAGCCCTTGCCTCACTTTTTACCTGTAATTTGTGTTACAGCCCTTGCCTCACTTTTTACCTATATTTTGTGTTACAGCCCTTGCCTCACGTTGCCTCACTTTTTACCTATATTTTGTGTTACAGCCCTTGCCTCACTTTTTACCTATATTTTGTGTTACAGCCCTTGCCTCACATTTTACCTGTATTTTGTGTTACAGCCCTTACCTCACATTTTACCTGTATTTTGTGTTACAGCCCTTGCCTCACTTTTTACCTGTATCCTGGCTCGTTACCTCTTCACTTATAACTGGGATTGGAATACAGGGATGATGTTTGGTGCCATACTCAGCGCCACAGATCCAGTGGCAGTGGTGGCATTGCTCAGAGATTTAGGTATAATATACACGTTGGACACCTTGTCAAGGATGTTCAACTTTTTAAAGTTTCACTGATATATTGGTTATCTTCAAATAAATTTCTGCTTGTTTTTTTTTTTTTTTTTTTCAATTATTGGAGATCCATACTAATTTTTTTTCTGAAAGATGTAAAAAAAAGAAAAAAATACACATATTGTTTCATAATACCTGTGATATCTTTAAGAAGTGTCTCCCACTCTGAAACAGGTAAGTTAATTAATATATCTCACACTATGATAGATGATGCTATTTAACTTCAGTAAATCATCAGTTGACTAGACAATGTCTCTCACACTTGTCACAGTATATATAATTTTATTGACAAAATAAGAAAATATATAAGCATTTATGTGTCTACAGCCATGTATTATTTATCAATATGTCACATTAAAAAAAAAGACAACCATAAGTTGCTTTTTCGTTCTAATACTAATTGTTTAAATGATAATAATAAAAAAAACCCCAAAAGACTATTTCAATAATTTTCTTTTGACAGGAGCTTCTAAAAAGCTGGCTATGGTGATTGAGGGAGAATCTCTCTTAAATGACGGAGCAGCCATTGTGTTTTTCCAGATATTTTTGAAACTATCAACTTCAGGAGCAGAGATAGATGGTAATATTAATGTATGATAACGGAAAAAATCATCTAAATAATGCACTCAATGACCTTGTATACATCACTGTATTAGTGCTGTGCACTTCTTCATAACTTAATGCTCTGTTTTTCGATGTGGCATCAGTAATAACATGCACTTTGCATTATCACCATACTATCTGTGTTGTTCACAACAGCCTTGCCCACTTCTGATGGTTATACATTAAGTGGCCTCCTAGTATCATTCTACAATGTACACCATTCATGGTAACCTAACTGTCAGTTATATTACAACATGGCTACTAATGTCCGTAGTGATTGCTGGACTTATAAAACAAATACTCTATATCAATGATGAATTGTTAATAGTATATTTACTATCAATATTGTATATTTTGGTAAGGCCTTGTTATCATTAGTGTATTTTGTAGTGGAATTTTCAGGAACTATTGCTGCACGGATGTTTGTCAGGAACTAATGCTGTAATGATGTTTGTCAGGAACTAATGCTGTAATGATGTTTGTCAGGAACTAATGCTGTAATGATGTTTGTCAGGAACTAATGCTGTAATGATGTTTGTCAGGAACTAATGCTGTAATGATGTTTGTCAGGAACTAATGCTGTAATGATGTTTGTCAGGAACTAATGCTGTAATGATGTTTGTCAGTAACTAATGCTGTAATGATGTTTGTCAGGAACTAATGCTGTAATGATGTTTGTCAGGAACTTATGCTGTAATCATGTTTGTAAGGAACTAATGCTGTAATAATGTTTGTCAGGAACTAATGCTGTAATGATGATTGTCAGGAACTAATGCTGTACTGATGTTTGTCAGGAACTAATGCTGTAATGATGTTTGTCAGGAACTTATGCTGTAATGATGTTTGTCAGGAACTAATGCTGTAATAATGTTTGTCAGGAACTAATGCTGTGCTGATGTTTGTCAGGAACTAATGCTGTAATGATGTTTGTCAGGAACTAATGCTGTAATGATGTTTGTCAGGAACTTATGCTGTAATGATATTTGTCAGGAACTAATGCTGTGCTGATGTTTGTCAGTAACTAATGCTGTAATGATGTTTGTCAGGAACTAATGCTGTAATGATGTTTGTCAGGAACTAATGCTGTAATGATGTTTGTCAGGAACTAATGCTGTAATAATGTTTGTCAGGAACTAATGCTGTAAAGATGTTTGTCAGGAACTAATGCTGTACTGATGTTTGTCAGGAACTAATGCTGTAATAATGTTTGTCAGGAACTAATGCTGTAATAATGTTTGTCAGGAACTAATGCTGTAATGATGTTTGTCAGGAACTAATGCTGTACTGATGTTTGTCAGGAACTAATGCTGTAATGATGTTTGTAAGGAACTAATGCTGTAATGATGTTTGTCAGGAACTAATGCTGTAATGATGTTTGTCAGGAACTAATGCTGTAATGATGTTTGTCAGGAACTAATGCTGTAATGATGTTTGTCAGGAACTAATGCTGTAATGATGTTTGTCAGGAACTAATGCTGTAATGATGTTTGTCAGTAACTAATGCTGTAATGATGTTTGTCAGGAACTAATGCTGTAATGATGTTTGTCAGTAACTAATGCTGTAATGATGTTTGTCAGGAACTAATGCTGTAATGATGTTTGTCAGGAACTAATGTTGTAATGATGTTTGTCAGGAACTAATGCTGTAATGATGTTTGTCAGGAACTAATGCTGTAATAATGTTTGTCAGGAACTAATGCTGTAATAATGTTTGTAAGGAACTAATGCTGTGCCGATGTTTGTCAGGAACTAATGCTGTAATGATGTTTGTCAGTAACTAATGCTGTAATGATGTTTGTCAGGAACTAATGCTGTAATAATGTTTGTCAGGAACTAATGCTGTAATGATGTTTGTCAGGAACTAATGCTGTAATGATGTTTGTCAGGAACTAATGCTGTAATGATGTTTGTCAGGAACTAATGCTGTAATGATGTTTGTCAGGAACTAATGCTGTACTGATGTTTGTCAGGAACTAATGCTGTAATAATGTTTGTCAGGAACTAGTGTTGTAAAGATGTTTGTCAGGAACTAATGCTGTAATGATGTTTGTCAGGAACTAATGCTGTAATGATGTTTGTCAGGAACTAATGCTGTAATGATGTTTGTCAGGAACTAATGCTGTAATGATGTTTGTCAGGAACTAATGCTGTAATGATGTTTGTCAGTAACTAATGCTGTAATGATGTTTGTCAGGAACTAATGCTGTAATGATGTTTGTCAGTAACTAATGCTGTAATGATGTTTGTCAGGAACTAATGCTGTAATGATGTTTGTCAGGAACTAATGCTGTAATGATTTTTGTCAGGAACTTATGCTGTAATGATGTTTGTAAGGAATTAATGCTGTAATAATGTTTGTCAGGAACTAATGCTGTACTGATGTTTGTCAGGAACTAATGCTGTAATGATGTTTGTCAGGAACTTATGCTGTAATCATGTTTGTAAGGAACTAATGCTGTAATAATGTTTGTCAGGAACTAATGCTGTGCTGATGTTTGTCAGGAACTAATGCTGTAATGATGTTTGTCAGGAACTAATGCTGTAATGATGTTTGTCAGGAACTAATGCTGTAATGATGTTTGTCAGGAACTAATGCTGTGCTGATGTTTGTCAGGAACTAATGCTGTAATGATGTTTGTCAGGAACTAATGCTGTAATGATGTTTGTCATGAACTAATGCTGTAATAATGGGAACTAATGCTGCAATGATGTTTGTCAGGAACTAATGCTGTAATGATGTTTGTCAGGAACTAATGTTGTAATGATGTTTGTCAGGAACTAATGCTGTAATAATGTTTGTCAGGAACTAATGCTGTAATGATGTTTGTCAGGAACTAATGCTGTAATGATGTTTGTCAGGAACTAATGCTGTAATGATGTTTGTCAGGAACTAATGCTGTAATGATGTTTGTCAGGAACTAATGCTGTCAGGAACCAATGCTGTAAAGATGTTTGTAAGGAACTAATGCTGTAATGATGTTGGAACATGACAAAACCATCAATAATTTATACCAAAGTGGCATTGCTATCAGTCCTGTATAATTTGATGTGGTATCACTATCAATGCTGTATTCATAATGTGGCAATATTAATTCTAATTAATTCTAATGACATCACATTTAATACAATATGTACTTCAATGTGGCCCTCTTATCATTGGTGTATTTCACTATGCTGTGTCATTATCAATACTTTATAAGTGACTGGCATATCTTATCAAAAACTGGCAAAATATGGTATTTGACACTATCAGAAATATGAAATATATTGATGTATCAACTTGTTTGTATGGTATGTTAGGTTTGGTTTATATATTTTGTAATTTGTTTGATGTTTCTGTGCCAATTTCTGATTGGAAATACTGTAAAAGCATAGGTTACAGTTATAAGAAGAAGCAAATTTTCAAATGAGTTGTTTTTTGCTAAGTATTAACCAAATTCCTATCTAATATATTCTTTCCTGACATGTTAATCAAGGATTTTTTTTTCAATTTTTGATATTCAATAAGTACAGAAGATTTTGAATGTTTTGCTGTGAATTAATAAAGTACCATGTGAGTGCCACTAAGGTTACCATGACAACATAATATTATTATCATGCGTAATCCTTTTGACTTGTATCTCTTGTTTCCACACAGTTTCAGTTGGTAAGGATCAAACCAACACATTAGCTCAGTATCCCATACCTAACTAACAAGTTTTCTTTTATCACATTCATTATTCATGAACCCTTGGGATTTTATCCTCGGTTGAAATACAGCTTGAGTGCATATTCATATTCCTCAAACCTTCATCGCTATCCTTTTTAATTTCCCCAAATTAATGTGGAGGCCCAATTTTTTACGTTTGTCGGAGCAAGCATTTTATCCTTAGATTTTGAGTGATGAAAATATTTCCTCTGTTCTATTGTGTTTATTTTTCCAAGCTATACATTCCTTCTTGTGTTTTTCTGTCCTTCTGTCAGCCATTTTTATGATTGCTTGTTCATATCTGTATTTTTATATTTTGTTTCTGCAAGCATTCATTTTTTATTTCCTTTCCGAAAGGGTGTGGGGTATTGCGATCATGCACGGCGCCCGTCTGTCTGTCCGTCCGTCCACAATTGCATTCCGCTCATTATCTCAAGAATGACATCACCGGTGATCACCATTTTCGCTGGGCATGTTGGGGCCATGAACCTACACAACCCTATTGTTTTTCGTTGTCACCCGATATCCAATATGGCGGTTACGGCCGCCATCTTGAATTTGCATTCCGCTCATTATCTCAAGAACAACATCACCAGCGATCACCATTTTCACTGGGCATGTTAGGCCTATGGACCTACACAGCCTTTTGAGGTTCTTCACAATCTCAGCCCTGCACCCAACTTTATAATTAGGCTGTGGGGTATTGCCTGCGTTTGCGGAGCTATTTTTTCTCTCTATCACCCATTTTCTCTCCATCTCTCTTCATGTCTATTGATTTTTCTGTCAATGTCTGTTCTGTCCATTTCTTTGCCTGATTTGTGTGATCACATTTGACATATAATTATCACCTCTACATTACATTGACACAAAAATTGTACCCCTACTGCTTAACTACTTTCAGGTTTTTAAACTTATGTCAGCTAACCTTATCGTCGTTAATACTCCCCTATACTGTTCTAGCCGTCTCTGTTACTTTCTTTTAAATCTAATTCATTTTCTTTTTGTTTAGTTATTTTTCATTTCACTTCTCTTTAACAACATGATCACATATTAGATACTGTTTTAACCCTTTGTTAAAGGTTTTTTAATATATGCACATGTAGTGATGTATGTATATTCTTGATCAAAATAATCTTTAGCTGCAAAATTAAGAATTTCTGGAAAAATGTGAAAATGTGAAAATATATTTCTGGGAAAATGTGAAAATGTATTATTCATAATTGGCCATTGGGCATGAGGCATCTAAATGTATATAACTATTGATTACAATAATTTCCTGTGACCTCTTTGCTAATTAATTTGTTTAGCCTAATGTTGTGTAAAACGATGTAATATCTGATATTTATCATGTGCTTTTACTTTATAAAATCAAATATTCAATGTTAAACCCTTATTAGCCCTGAATCTAAAAAAACTAACTTAAATAAACAATATATACTTGTGTGGACATTTTGCCAGTATGAATATAAAATCACCTGCTATTTAACTACAGCTTTTTTTGCTTTTTTTCTGCCTTAATAGGAAATAGTACATGTGTTCCATAATCAATTATCTCTAATTTGATTTAACTGAAATCTTTTCCCTCTCCAGTTGATGTTTGCCTCCTAACAACTCTAACTTCTCCCATCCTGGAGCATTTTAATTAATAGTTAGATGTCATTTCCTCTCACAGTTTAGAATAATTAAGATAATTTCATTTTTCAGTATGTACATTTTTATTAAAACATTCTGAAATTTAAACCTAAGAAAATAGATGTAATCATAAATAATTGCAAATTTATAGTAAAATGTCATGGAAACATCATAGAAATATATTCTGACTTGTATCATTACTGTCATATACAAAAAGTAAATAACTTTGATTTTATCTACTCATTAATTAATGCAATGATGATATTTTGTAAATATGGCTGATTTTTCAGTTTTATTTTCTTGATTTTAGACTGAGTTTTGTAATGTTTTACGATAAGTCTTTATTGCCACTTATTTTATGTATACATGATGTTGTAATAACAGATTTACATCACCTACTTTTTGTGTTGTAATTACAGCTGTATAATCAACTACATGGGTAAGTGTAATTACAGACCTGTATACATCACCTACTACATGGGTAAGTGTAATTACAGACCTGTATACATCACCTACTACATGGGTTAGTGTAATTACAGACCTGTATACATCACCTACTACATTGGTAAGTGTAATTACAGACCTGTATACATCACCTACTACATGGGTAAGTGTAATTACAGACCTGTATACATCACCTACTACATGGGTAAGTGTAATTACAGACCTGTATACATCACCTACTACATGGGTAAGTGTAATTACAGACCTGTATACATCACCTACTACATGGGTAAGTGTAATTACAGACCTGTATACATCACCTACTACATGGGTAAGTGTAATTACAGACCTGTATACATCACCTACTACATGGGTAAGTGTAATTACAGACCTGTATACATCACCTACTACATGGGTAAGTGTAATTACAGACCTGTATACATCACCTACTACATGGGTAAGTGTAATTACAGACCTGTTAACATCACCTACTACATGGGTAAGTGTAATTACAGACCTGTATACATCACCTACTACATGGGTAAGTGTAATTACAGACCTGTATACATCACCTACTACATGGGTAAGTGTAATTACAGACCTGTATACATCACCTACTACATGGGTAAGTGTAATTACAGACCTGTATACATCACCTACTACATGGGTAAGTGTAATTACAGACCTGTATACATCACCTACTACATGGGTAAGTGTAATTACAGACCTGTATACATCACCTACTACATGGGTAAGTGTAATTACAGACCTGTATACATCACCTACTACATGGGTAAGTGTAATTACAGACCTGTATACATCACCTACTACATGGGTAAGTGTAATTACAGACCTGTATACATCACCTACTACATGGGTAATTACAGACCTGTATACATCACCTACTACATGGGTAAGTGTAATTACAGACCTGTATACATCACCTACTACATGGGTTAGTGTAATTACAGACCTGTATACATCACCTACTACATGGGTAAGTGTAATTACAGACCTGTATACATCACCTACTACATGGGTAAGTGTAATTACAGACCTGTATACATCACCTACTACATGGGTAAGTGTAATTACAGACCTGTATACATCACCTACTACATGGGTAAGTGTAATTACAGACCTGTATACATCACCTACTACATGGGTAAGTGTAATTACAGACCTGTATACATCACCTACTACATGGGTAAGTGTAATTACAGACCTGTATACATCACCTACTACATGGGTAAGTGTAATTACAGACCTGTATACATCACCTACTACATGGGTAAGTGTAATTACAGACCTGTATACATCACCTACTACATGGGTAAGTGTAATTACAGACCTGTATACATCACCTACTACATGGGTAAGTGTAATTACAGACCTGTATACATCACCTACTACATGGGTAAGTGTAATTACAGACCTGTATACATCACCTACTACATGGGTAAGTGTAATTACCGACCTGTATACATCACCTACTACATGGGTAAGTGTAATTACAGACCTGTATACATCACCTACTACATGGGTAAGTGTAATTACAGACCTGTATACATCACCTACTACATGGGTAAGTGTAATTACAGACCTGTATACATCACCTACTACATGGGTAAGTGTAATTACAGACCTGTATACATCACCTACTACATGGGTAAGTGTAATTACAGACCTGTATACATCACCTACTACATGGGTAAGTGTAATTACAGACCTGTATACATCACCTACTACATGGGTAAGTGTAATTACAGACCTGTATACATCACCTACTACATGGGTAAGTGTAATTACAGACCTGTATACATCACCTACTACATGGGTTAGTGTAATTACCGACCTGTATACATCACCTACTACATGGGTAAGTGTAATTACAGACCTGTATACATCACCTACTACATGGGTAAGTGTAATTACAGACCTGTATACATCACCTACTACATGGGTAAGTGTAATTACAGACCTGTATACATCACCTACTGTGTGGGTAAGTATAATTACAGACCTGTATACATCACCTACTACATAGGTAAGTGTAATTACAGACCTGTATACATCACCTACTACATGTGTAAGTGTAATTACAGACCTGTATACATCACCTACTACATGGGTAAGTGTAATTACAGACCTGTATACATCACCTACTACATGGGTAAGTGTAATTACATACCTGTATACATCACCTACTACATGGGTAAGTGTAATTACAGACCTGTATACATCACCTACTACATGGGTAAGTGTAATTACAGACCTGTATACATCACCTACTACATGGGTAAGTGTAATTACAGACCTGTATACATCACCTACTACATGGGTAAGTGTAATTACAGACCTGTATACATCACCTACTACATGGGTAAGTGTAATTACAGACCTGTATACATCACCTACTACATGGGTAAGTGTAATTACAGACCTGTATACATCACCTACTACATGGGTAAGTGTAATTACAGACCTGTATACATCACCTACTACATGGGTTACAGACCTGTATACATCACCTACTACATGGGTAAGTGTAATTACAGACCTGTATACATCACCTACTACATGGGTAAGTGTAATTACAGACCTGTATACATCACCTACTACATGGGTAAGTGTAATTACAGACCTGTATACATCACCTACTACATGGGTAAGTGTAATTACAGACCTGTATACATCACCTACTACATGGGTTAGTGTAATTACAGACCTGTATACATCACCTACTACATGGGTAAGTGTAATTACAGACCTGTATACATCACCTACTACATGGGTAAGTGTAATTACAGACCTGTATACATCACCTACTACATGGGTAAGTGTAATTACAGACCTGTATACATCACCTACTACATGGGTAAGTGTAATTAATTACAGACCTGTATACATCACCTACTACATGGGTAAGTGTAATTACAGACCTGTATACATCACCTACTACATGGGTAAGTGTAATTACAGACCTGTATACATCACCTACTACATGGGTAAGTGTAATTACAGACCTGTATACATCACCTACTACATGTGTAAGTGTAATTACAGACCTGTATACATCACCTACTACATGGGTAAGTGTAATTACAGACCTGTATACATCACCTACTACATGGGTAAGTGTAATTACAGACCTGTATACATCACCTACTACATGGGTAAGTGTAATTACAGACCTGTATACATCACCTACTACATGGGTAAGTGTAATTACAGACCTGTATACATCACCTACTACATGGGTAAGTGTAATTACAGACCTGTATACATCACCTACTACATGGGTAAGTGTAATTACAGACCTGTATACATCACCTACTACATGGGTAAGTGTAATTACAGACCTGTATACATCACCTACTACATGGGTAAGTGTAATTACAGACCTGTATACATCACCTACTACATGGGTAAGTGTAATTACAGACCTGTATACATCACCTACTACATGGGTAAGTGTAATTACAGACCTGTATACATCACCTACTACATGGGTAAGTGTAATTACAGACCTGTATACATCACCTACTACATGGGTAAGTGTAATTACAGACCTGTATACATCACCTACTACATGGGTAAGTGTAATTACAGACCTGTATACATCACCTACTACATGGGTAAGTGTAATTACAGACCTGTATACATCACCTACTGTGTGGGTAAGTGTAATTACAGACCTGTATACATCACCTACTACATGGGTAAGTGTAATTACAGACCTGTATACATCACCTACTACATGGGTTAGTGTAATTACAGACCTGTATACATCACCTACTACATGGGTAAGTGTAATTACAGACCTGTATACATCACCTACTACATGGGTAAGTGTAATTACAGACCTATACCTCACCTACTACATGGGTTAGTGTAATTACAGACCTGTATACATCACCTACTACATGGGTAAGTGTAATTACAGACCTGTATACATCACCTACTACATGGGTAAGTGTAATTACAGTGTAATTACAGACCTGTAGACATCACCTACTAAATGGGTAAGTGTAATTAAAGGTAAACATCACCTACTACATGGAGTAAGTGTAATTACAGACCTGTATAGATCAACTACATATGCTAAGTGTAATTACAGACCTGTATACATCATTTTACATGGGTAGTGAGACCTGTTCACCTTACATGGGTTAGTGTAATTACAGACCTGTATACATCACCTACTACATGGGTTAGCATAATTACAGACCTGTTTACATCATCTACTATGTGGGTTAGTGTAATTACAGACCTGTATACATCACCTACTACAGTGGGTAAGTTAATTACAGATATGACCTACTCATGTTTTTAGTGTAATTACAGACCATACATATGAAGTAAAACATGGGCCAGAAGTGTTACAGAAATGTTTTTATGAGCACATAACCTACTACAGCTGAGAGTGAATTTTACATTCCTCTCTCTATAATTTATCTTCCTTGGTCCCTAGTTGTGCATTGTATCTTTTTTGGATTGATTCGAATTCAAGATGGCCGACAGGTGGCCATCTTGGATTTTGGAAGTAAAAGTTTGTTACCGCTATTTCTGAGAAAGTACTGGATGGATCTTTCTAAATTTCATATGCAGTTTCCCCTTGGTCCCTAGTTGTACATTGTACCTTTTTTGGACTGATTCGAATTCAAGATGGCCGACAGGTGGCTATCTTGGATTTTGGATGTAAGAGATTGTTACTGCTATTTCTTGGAAAGTACTGGATGGATCTTTCTCAAATTTCATATGCAGGTTCCCTTTGGTTCCAAGTTGTGCATTGTACCTTTTTGGACTGATCCAAAATCAAGATGGCACAAATACCAGTATATTATACTGAGAGTCCTTCTCTAACATTACCTCTAGGCTATCAGTAATTTATACCAAGTTGTTTTTCACCCTTGTCATTCTCTCAGTGAAAATATTTATATCTGGACACTAACTGTCTTGGTGGTACAATATGTTATAAAATTAATATGAGATTTTTAGAAGCAAATTCTCCAAATAAGGGAAAACAAATCTGTATTTGGCAAGGTTTTGTCATCCTCACATTTTGATCTCCAAGAGTTATTTCCCTTTGTTTCACTCTATTGGCACATGGGATGGCAACTAGCTTGACAAACGATCTGGGGTTTGAGAATGCATTCTTATGGCTAAATCTAATGTGTTTAAATGTACTTAAACCTTTTTCTAGCTTTTTCATGTTCACTTTCTATTAATCAATGTGTACAAGTGTGTGATAAATATAAGTTTGAATAAATAATAACATATATTCATTACTCACATTTAAACCAAACCATACTCTATTTGATATACTGCATGGGACCAATATATCCATACCAGATAAGTGTATTTATATATAAACATTGTTATAATTGTTAATTTGATTCAGGTTTTGGGAGACAATGGCTTATATAGCAAATACACTGATTTTTATCATTGTTGGAATGGTAATATCTGAAACTGCCATCTTTGAGATTCATGGAAAAGACTGGTTCTTCATGTTTTCTTTGTATTTTGGCATCTTTGTGATCAGGTAAGTATTAATTCTCTTTTTTCTTTTTGGTAATTTTTTATTTTTCAAGACTTAATTTTCAACTCTCTATTTCACAAGAAAATATAAAAATCTGTGTATACTCATCTCCAATTTCTGATTACATGCAAAAAATAGTGTAATATTTCAACTGTATATAAGCACATACAGATATACAATGTATATAAATGAATGAAATGGATACATTTTGATATTTGCATACTTTTAAAATTCATTTGACAAATAATCAACGCATATTTTATTTGAAAAAAAAAATCTTATTCCATAACTGTTACAATTGTTACCAATGTTTACAAACAAACATAAAAAAGCAAACTCAATAAATTCAAAAAAAAAAAGAAGGAATTTAATAATAATTGTTTATTGAAATATTTTGTGTAACAATTAGTAATATACTATTGTGTATGACTGTTGATTTAGATACAGCTGTTTCAGAAATTCTGTTAGCTCCTTGTTTTTATCTTTAGAGGGTTAGTAATTGCCATCTTTAGCCCAATACTGCGACACACAGGTTACGGAATGTCGTGGCAGGAAGGAATAATAATGACTTGGGGAGGCCTCCGAGGAGCTGTGGGTTTGGCTCTGGCCTTACAAGTGGCTCACCATGATGAAATAGACCAGGAGAGTGTTGGTATCAGGGTGAGTCATTCACATAGGAAATATAAAACAAAAGATTTGAATTTTGAAAATCAGAATGTAATCTTCAGTCACAAATAAATGCATACAAAATCGAAAAATTGAAAATTGTACCTGGTGTTAATATTTACTGCGTAACCCTGGTAAAATACTACCTGCAAAGTACCGCTTGGCTTAAGAGAAAGTGTCCCTTCAGCTCAACTGGTTAAGTGTCAGGCTAGTAAGCCAGAGGACCTGGGTTTGAATTCTAATGGAGGCACAACATTAAAATATTGACCTCTGTTACAATTGCATTGCTTTTCTGTGCTGGAGGTTAAAGTTTAAAGGTCAACCCATAAGTATTTGTCTCTTTGTTATATCTGAACTCTAGCTCACCCAGGCGGTCTATATTGAGATTTTCCTGTTTCACAAGGCTACTTCTCTGAGACCTTGTGAACGAGTAATCTCTATGAACCTTCCCACATATATTTTCTGTCTGAAGACATATTTACATTGTATAAGTCAATAAATTGTATATTTTCTGTCTGAAGACATATTTACATTGTATAAGTCAATAAATTGTATATTTTCTGTCTGAAGACATATTTACATTGTATAAGCCAATAAATTGTATATTTTCTGTCTGAAGACATATTTACATTGTATAAGTCAATAAATTGTATATTTTCTGTCTGAAGACATATTTACATTGTATAAGTCAATAAATTGTATATTTTCTGTCTGAAGACATATTTACATTGTATAAGCCAATAAATTGTATATTTTCTGTCTGAAGACATATTTACATTGTATAAGCCAATAAATTGTATATTTTCTGTCTGAAGACATATTTGCATTGTATAAGCCAATGAATTATGTAGGTCTGAAAATTTCACCCTGCACAACCAGCCCTAGGAAACTCTTTATGGCATACTAGATAAGTATCTTAAAATAATTTTTGCAAAGTATTCATTTCTGTCAATTTTGTTGCAAGGTACATGTATCGACCCTTATTCTGGTATATATGTACGTTTATATCATACGATTATCATTATAAGAGGTATTCCCCCTCCCACACTTCTATGAAATAATCAGTCAGAAGTAATGACTTTTGTTCCAAACTTATTTTCGTGAACTTTGGTACACACGATCAATATCTAATAGTTAATGTTCTATTTATCTATAATTGTGATTTTGTAGGAATATTTTTGTAACATCTTTTTTTCTGATTCTTTGCTTCATTTTTCTGAAAAAAAAAAAACATTAAAACAAAATTCAGTCTCTCACCTACAATTTTTGATTTGTTGAGTGGAACAGTTTGTATCACAATTGTCAGGGCAGCGGTTGGATAGGTATAACCAATCAGAGATTGAATTTAAAATTAATAAAATACTGAGTTTTCCTGTCTGATCATATTAGTGTTCTTCTGGTCCTAACACCTTAATCAAGACACCTGATGGATGTTTCTATCTGGTAGAACATAATAAAAGAAGACTAATTTATAACATTTTAAGTATTTGTAGTAAAATAGATATAATTCCATTCCTTATGTAATTTTCCTTGACAGGTCCTGATTCATGTCTCTGGTATAGTGTTCCTAACTCTGCTGGTAAATGCCTCGACCACTGGAGCTCTTCTACAAATCCTTGGTAAGTATTACAATAGTTAATGCCCTTGAATCAGCCAGTAAATACTATAACATAGAGTTTTGATTTTAAAATGCATTTTACTTTGAATTACCGTTCAAAAAAGACTAGTCTTCCTAAGTGCTGTAAAATCATGTTTTTACAAAACATGCAGAAAAACATAATTTTCTAATCATATTTATGATAATTATACTATTTTGCTCAGTTTGATATGAGCTAGGATTAATGTTATTCAGGCACTGTCATTTTGGTCCTTAAGACCGTGCCATTACTTACCTAGAGTGACCTAGATTTGGAAAGTGACGTCATCTGAACAAAGTACCCTTTTGGAACTCCCTTCAAAGTTTCCATCATAAGCCCTGGAAACCTTTGTATATATTTGGTCATGTTTTATCAATTTTAAGTAAGTCTTATTATTTTTTACCGGCTACAAGTTGTTGTGTTTTTTATTTTTATTCACCAGCTGGTATTTACTTTTCAATGTTAAAATTGGTATGCTTTAGGGATGAGCGATATCTCACCAGCCAAGAGAATGGCAATGGCAAATTCTCTACGCTATCTACATGACATGAGGGAACGCACTCTCAACATGCTGAAAACGGACAGGTAAAAAACAAAATAGGAAAAAACTTAGAAAACACTAATTATATGTAAAGACATGTAAAGGTTCTGTGTAACCTTAATATCTATGATATGATTTGGTCAATTTTATGTGTAGGTTTCTGGCAGATGCTGACTGGGACACAGTGGAGAAGTCTTGTGAGTTAGAGGACCCCTACAAAACTACAGAGGAGGAGGTGACTTATAACATTTAAATCTTGACATTACAGTTTAAATTGAAAATATTTTCAGATTGATTAAATTCTAATATTAAAAACTACCTATATGTTACTTTTCAAATTTAACATGCTTTCTGATGTAGTTTTATCGAATGTTGAAATATAATACAATGTGTCACAAAAAAATATTCTGCAACATTTCATTTACTGACCTGTCTCCATGCAGAGTTGTCATCAGTAGCTAATTCCAATTTTCTGTAGGGTCTAGTTTACTTGTTTGCTATATAATGTTACTGTTACCCTCCATATAGTACAGTCAACATTCTCAATGAAAGTATTCAGAAATGCATGAAACTTTTTAGGGTAAACAAAATATTTGAAGCATGCAGTGTTGAACTGTATAGTAAGTAACATTTAGTCATGTTAAGAGCCCTTGTTGGTAAGTCAATATATGGTTATTATAGGCACTGTGTGTTATTCTAGGTGCTAGTTTTAAGAGTCACTGAACATAATGTTGTTGTTAGGCCATGATCAGTCCCTAGATATTGTATGTTTTAGGTTCTTGTTGACGAGTCTATAGACAGTGAGTGTTTTAGGACCAGATCAGTCCCTAGATATTGTATGTTTTAGGTTCTTGTTGACGAGTCTATAGACAGTGAGTGTTTTAGGACCAGATCAGTCCCTAGATATTGTATGTTTTAGGTTCTTGTTGACGAGTCTATAGACAGTGAGTGTTTTAGGACCAGATCAGTCCCTAGATATTGTATGTTTTAGGTTCTTGTTGACGAGTCTATAGACAGTGAGTGTTTTAGGACCAGATCAGTCCCTAGATATTGTATGTTTTAGGTTCTTGTTGACGAGTCTATAGACAGTGAGTGTTTTAGGACCAGATCAGTCCCTAGATATTGTATGTTTTAGGTTCTTGTTGACGAGTCTATAGACAGTGAGTGTTTTAGGACCAGATCAGTCCCTAGATATTGTATGTTTTAGGTTCTTGTTGACGAGTCTATAGACAGTGAGTGTTTTAGGACCAGATCAGTCCCTAGATATTGTATGTTTTAGGTTCTTGTTGACGAGTCTATAGACAGTGAGTGTTTTAGGACCAGATCAGTCCCTAGATATTGTATGTTTTAGGTTCTTGTTGACGAGTCTATAGACAGTGAGTGTTTTAGGACCAGATCAGTCCCTAGATATTGTATGTTTTAGGTTCTTGTTGACGAGTCTATAGACAGTGAGTGTTTTAGGACCAGATCAGTCCCTAGATATTGTATGTTTTAGGTTCTTGTTGACGAGTCTATAGACAGTGAGTGTTTTAGGACCAGATCAGTCCCTAGATATTGTATGTTTTAGGTTCTTGTTGACGAGTCTATAGACAGTGAGTGTTTTAGGACCAGATCAGTCCCTAGATATTGTATGTTTTAGGTTCTTGTTGACGAGTCTATAGACAGTGAGTGTTTTAGGACCAGATCAGTCCCTAGATATTGTATGTTTTAGGTTCTTGTTGACGAGTCTATAGACAGTGAGTGTTTTAGGACCAGATCAGTCCCTAGATATTGTATGTTTTAGGTTCTTGTTGACGAGTCTATAGACAGTGAGTGTTTTAGGACCAGATCAGTCCCTAGATATTGTATGTTTTAGGTTCTTGTTGACGAGTCTATAGACAGTGAGTGTTTTAGGACCAGATCAGTCCCTAGATATTGTATGTTTTAGGTTCTTGTTGACGAGTCTATAGACAGTGAGTGTTTTAGGACCAGATCAGTCCCTAGATATTGTATGTTTTAGGTTCTTGTTGACGAGTCTATAGACAGTGAGTGTTTTAGGACCAGATCAGTCCCTAGATATTGTATGTTTTAGGTTCTTGTTGACGAGTCTATAGACAGTGAGTGTTTTAGGACCAGATCAGTCCCTAGATATTGTATGTTTTAGGTTCTTGTTGACGAGTCTATAGACAGTGAGTGTTTTAGGACCAGATCAGTCCCTAGATATTGTATGTTTTAGGTTCTTGTTGACGAGTCTATAGACAGTGAGTGTTTTAGGACCAGATCAGTCCCTAGATATTGTATGTTTTAGGTTCTTGTTGACGAGTCTATAGACAGTGAGTGTTTTAGGACCAGATCAGTCCCTAGATATTGTATGTTTTAGGTTCTTGTTGACGAGTCTATAGACAGTGAGTGTTTTAGGACCAGATCAGTCCCTAGATATTGTATGTTTTAGGTTCTTGTTGACGAGTCTATAGACAGTGAGTGTTTTAGGACCAGATCAGTCCCTAGATATTGTATGTTTTAGGTTCTTGTTGACGAGTCTATAGACAGTGAGTGTTTTAGGACCAGATCAGTCCCTAGATATTGTATGTTTTAGGTTCTTGTTGACGAGTCTATAGACAGTGAGTGTTTTAGGACCAGATCAGTCTTTAGACATGGTATGTTTTAGGTTCTTGTTGACGAGTCTATAGACAGTGAGTGTTTTAGGACCAGATCAGTCCCTAGATATTGTATGTTTTAGGTTCTTGTTGACGAGTCTATAGACAGTGAGTGTTTTAGGACCAGATCAGTCCCTAGATATTGTATGTTTTAGGTTCTTGTTGACGAGTCTATAGACAGTGAGTGTTTTAGGACCAGATCAGTCCCTAGATATTGTATGTTTTAGGTTCTTGTTGACGAGTCTATAGACAGTGAGTGTTTTAGGACCAGATCAGTCCCTAGATATTGTATGTTTTAGGTTCTTGTTGACGAGTCTGTAGACAGTGAGTGTTTTAGGACCAGATCAGTCCCTAGATATTGTATGTTTTAGGTTCTTGTTGACGAGTCTATAGACAGTGAGTGTTTTAGGACCAGATCAGTCCCTAGATATTGTATGTTTTAGGTTCTTGTTGACGAGTCTATAGACAGTGAGTGTTTTAGGACCAGATCAGTCCCTAGATATTGTATGTTTTAGGTTCTTGTTGACGAGTCTATAGACAGTGAGTGTTTTAGGACCAGATCAGTCCCTAGATATTGTATGTTTTAGGTTCTTGTTGACGAGTCTATAGACAGTGAGTGTTTTAGGACCAGATCAGTCCCTAGATATTGTATGTTTTAGGTTCTTGTTGACGAGTCTATAGACAGTGAGTGTTTTAGGACCAGATCAGTCCCTAGATATTGTATGTTTTAGGTTCTTGTTGACGAGTCTATAGACAGTGAGTGTTTTAGGACCAGATCAGTCCCTAGATATTGTATGTTTTAGGTTCTTGTTGACGAGTCTATAGACAGTGAGTGTTTTAGGACCAGATCAGTCCCTAGATATTGTATGTTTTAGGTTCTTGTTGACGAGTCTATAGACAGTGAGTGTTTTAGGACCAGATCAGTCCCTAGATATTGTATGTTTTAGGTTCTTGTTGACGAGTCTATAGACAGTGAGTGTTTTAGGACCAGATCAGTCCCTAGATATTGTATGTTTTAGGTTCTTGTTGACGAGTCTATAGACAGTGAGTGTTTTAGGACCAGATCAGTCCCTAGATATTGTATGTTTTAGGTTCTTGTTGACGAGTCTATAGACAGTGAGTGTTTTAGGACCAGATCAGTCCCTAGATATTGTATGTTTTAGGTTCTTGTTGACGAGTCTATAGACAGTGAGTGTTTTAGGACCAGATCAGTCCCTAGATATTGTATGTTTTAGGTTCTTGTTGACGAGTCTATAGACAGTGAGTGTTTTAGGACCAGATCAGTCCCTAGATATTGTATGTTTTAGGTTCTTGTTGACGAGTCTATAGACAGTGAGTGTTTTAGGACCAGATCAGTCCCTAGATATTGTATGTTTTAGGTTCTTGTTGACGAGTCTATAGACAGTGAGTGTTTTAGGACCAGATCAGTCCCTAGATATTGTATGTTTTAGGTTCTTGTTGACGAGTCTATAGACAGTGAGTGTTTTAGGACCAGATCAGTCCCTAGATATTGTATGTTTTAGGTTCTTGTTGACGAGTCTATAGACAGTGAGTGTTTTAGGACCAGATCAGTCCCTAGATATTGTATGTTTTAGGTTCTTGTTGACGAGTCTATAGACAGTGAGTGTTTTAGGACCAGATCAGTCCCTAGATATTGTATGTTTTAGGTTCTTGTTGACGAGTCTATAGACAGTGAGTGTTTTAGGACCAGATCAGTCCCTAGATATTGTATGTTTTAGGTTCTTGTTGACGAGTCTATAGACAGTGAGTGTTTTAGGACCAGATCAGTCCCTAGATATTGTATGTTTTAGGTTCTTGTTGACGAGTCTATAGACAGTGAGTGTTTTAGGACCAGATCAGTCCCTAGATATTGTATGTTTTAGGTTCTTGTTGACGAGTCTATAGACAGTGAGTGTTTTAGGACCAGATCAGTCCCTAGATATTGTATGTTTTAGGTTCTTGTTGACGAGTCTATAGACAGTGAGTGTTTTAGGACCAGATCAGTCCCTAGATATTGTATGTTTTAGGTTCTTGTTGACGAGTCTATAGACAGTGAGTGTTTTAGGACCAGATCAGTCCCTAGATATTGTATGTTTTAGGTTCTTGTTGACGAGTCTATAGACAGTGAGTGTTTTAGGACCAGATCAGTCCCTAGATATTGTATGTTTTAGGTTCTTGTTGACGAGTCTATAGACAGTGAGTGTTTTAGGACCAGATCAGTCCCTAGATATTGTATGTTTTAGGTTCTTGTTGACGAGTCTATAGACAGTGAGTGTTTTAGGACCAGATCAGTCCCTAGATATTGTATGTTTTAGGTTCTTGTTGACGAGTCTATAGACAGTGAGTGTTTTAGGACCAGATCAGTCCCTAGATATTGTATGTTTTAGGATCTTGTTGACAAGTCAATAGACAGTGAGTGTTTTAGGACCAGATCAGTCCCTAGATATTGTATGTTTTAGACAGTTGTTGATGAGTGTATGTTTTAGACGAGTGAGTGAGTGTTTTAGGACCAGTCAGTCCCTAGATATTGTATGTTTTAGGTTCTTGTTGACGAGTCTATAGACAGTGAGTGATTTAGGAGCAGATCAGTCACTAGATATTGTATGTTTTACACAGTTGTTGATGAGTCTACTAGATCCTGTGATGTTCTACACAGTTGTTGTTTTATTGACAGTGAGTGTCTCTAGATCCTGTGATGTTTTACTGTTGTGACGAGTCTATAGACAGTGATGAGTCACTAGATCCTGTGTTTGTATGTTTCTTGTTGTTCTAGACAGTTGTTTATTTATGAGTCACTAGATCCTGTGATGTTCTACACAATTGTTGATGAGTCACTTGATCATGTGATGTTCTCTACTGTTGTTGATGAGTCATTATATCCTGTGATGTTCTACACAATTGTTGATGAGTCTATAGATCCTGTGATGTTCTTAACTGTTGTTGATGAGTCACTAGATCCTGTGATGTTCTATACAGTTGTTGATTAGTCACTAGATCCTGTCTTGTTCTACATTGTTGTTGAAGAGTCACTAGATCATGTGATGTTCTATGCAGTTGTTGATGAGTCACTAGATCCTGTGATGTTCTACACAGTTGTTTATGAGTCACTAGATCCTGTCTTGTTCTATACAGTTGTTGATGAGTCACTAGATCCTGTCTTGTTCTATACAGTTGTTGATGAGTCACTAGATCCTGTGATGTTCTCTACTGTTGTTGATGAGTCATTAGATCCTGTGATGTTGTACACAGTTGTTGATGAGTCACTAGATCCTGTGATGTTCTACACAGTTGTTTATGAGTCTCTAGATCCTGTGATGTTCTGTACTGTTGTTGATGAGTCACTAGATCCTGTGATGTTCTGCACAGTTGTTGATGAGTCACTAGATCCTGTGATGTTGTACACAGTTGTTGATGAGTCACTAGATCCTGTGATGTTCTACACAGTTGTTTATGAGTCTCTAGATCCTGTGATGTTCTGTACTGTTGTTGATGAGTCACTAGATCCTGTGATGTTCTACACAGTTGTTTATGAGTCACTAGATCCTGTCTTGTTCTATACAGTTGTTGATCAGTCACTAGATCCTGTGATGTTCTACACAATTGTTGATGAGACACTAGATCCTGTGATGTTCTCTACTGTTGTTGATGAGTCATTATATCCTGTGATGTTCTACACAATTGTTGATGAGTCTCTAGATCCTGTGATGTTCTGTACTGTTGTTGATGAGTCACTAGATCCTGTGATGTTCTATACAGTTGTTGATTAGTCACTAGATCCTGTCTTGTTCTACATTGTTGTTGAAGAGTCACTAGATCATGTGATGTTCTATGCAGTTGTTGATGAGTCACTAGATCCTGTGATGTTCTACACAGTTGTTTATGAGTCACTAGATCCTGTCTTGTTCTATACAGTTGTTGATGAGTCACTAGATCCTGTCTTGTTCTATACAGTTGTTGATGAGTCACTAGATCCTGTGATGTTCTATACAGTTGTTGATGAGTCACTAGATCCTGTCTTGTTCTATACAGTTGTTGTTGAATCACTAGATCCTGTGATGTTCTATACAGTTGTTGATGAGTCACTAGATCCTGTGATGTTCTACACTGTTGTTGATGAGTCACTAGATCCTGTGATGTTCTACACAGTTGTTGATGAGTCACTAGATCCTGTCTTGTTCTACACAGTTGTTGATGAGTCACTAGATCCTGTTTAGTTCTACAAAGATGTTGATGAGTCACTAGATCCTGTCTTGTTCTACAAAGATGTTGATGAGTCACTAGATCCTGTCTTGTTCTGCACAGTTGTTGAAGAGTCACTAGATCCTGTGATGTTCTACACTGTTGTTGATGAGTCACTAGATCCTGTGATGTTCTACACAGTTGTTGATGAGTCACTAGATCCTGTGATGTTCCACACAGTTGTTGATGAGTCACTAGATCCCATCTTGTTCTGCACAGTTGTTGAAGAGTTACTAGATCCTGTCTTGTTCTACAAAGATGTTGATGAGTCTCTAGATCCTGTCTTGGTCTGCCCAGTTGTTGAAGAGTTACTAGATCCTGTCTTATTCTACAAAGATGTTGATGAGTCACTAGATCCTGTCTTGTTCTGCACAGTTGTTGAGTCACTAGATCCTGTCTTGTTCTACAAAATTGTTGAAGAATCACAAGATCCTGTGATGTTCTATACTGTTGTTGATGAGTCACAAGATCCTGTGATGTTCTATACTGTTGTTGATGAGTCACTAGATCTTGTGATGTTTTACACAGTTGTTGATGAGTCACTAGATCTTGCGATGTTCTACACTGTTGTTGATGAGTCACTAGATCTTGTGATGTTCTACACTGTTGTTGATGACTCACTGTAGACGTTGTGTTTTTAGGCCCTTGTTGATGAGTCACTAGACATGAGAGCCAATGCTGTTTGCCCGGACTGTGATTCTCAATTGCCTGCTACTTACACACGAAAAGAACTGCGTGACATGACTAATGAAGCAGTACTACGTATGCTTAAAGCTGAAAAAGTAGGTATTGTATATACATGTAAACACCATTCATGGTTTCACTTCAACATTATTCTTTATTACACTGTCTGATTTCTATTTAGGGAGCACAAAGATTTCGGATATAATGGTGTTGAACAATTAAATTAAAAAGTATTCTTCAAGTGAATGGCATAATATTGCATTTGGAAGACAAAAGTACTTTTTGGTGATCTTAATAACCATACCAGTTTTAGTTCAATGTCTTGTTTGGTATGTATACTCTCTCATACTCTTTAAATGTCTACAACAACATCATTGGTTTTGAAACACAAGAAAAAGAAGTTTTGAAACTTTGAAAACCCATATAAACAAAATCAATCGATGACATTTTTGTCAAACATTCTGTTGCTTAGTCTTGGTCTAAATTGACCAGGTGCATAATTCAAATTAACTAGTGCCTATGTGTAGGTTGAACAATGTCAAGTTAGTGAAATTATCAAACTTTAAGTCTTTTTTTAGTATAAATTTAATACTATATATTGATTAACAGACAAGTGATACTCTCCTCTGATCCTTTCATATGCAATGTAATAATCATCAGCTGTTTGCTGTTGTCACTTTCCGTTTATGTGTGGAGATGAGAACACCTATAATGTCATTTGTCTTTTCCTTAAGATGAGTTATTGGCGCCAGTTTGAACAAGGCATGTTGTCTCGTGAAGCAGTGCGGAAACTCCAGGAGTGTGCAGATATTGCAGCTGACAAGAAGGGGAAGTAAGTGTGGTATAGATAAAATGATATTTCTTGTGTGATTCCTGATTTAAGAAAAAATAGCAATGAAATATGACAGATACTGGAAGAGGAGTGCAGTTTTACTAAATGTAGCTATTCATTATGTCTGAAACTTCCCATAGCCATTCAAGGGTCTCATGCATGACTTTCATCATCCGTTGTAATGTACCGTCTGTTATCCTTTAATATTTTACTTTTCAACTTCTTCTTAAGAACAAGAAGACTAAGTGACAATATTAATGCTTCCAATGTATAAGGGATTAAGTATGTTAAAAGGACCTCATATGGCTTCAGCTTAAATAACTGCTTACTGATACAGTTCATAACAGATACAAGTTTTGAATCTGAGTAAATTATAGATATGCAGTATTCTGATAGATAAGTTTTTTTACAAGGTCATTGGATGTTGAAGAAATCAAGAAGAGCTGGGAAGTACCGTCAATCTACATGCGATTTGTAAGTGGTAATTGTGAAATAGCACCTGAGCTCTGCTTTATATAAGTTTAGTCTTTGAATTTCAGTCATAATCTGTTTTTCACATTGAAATAGTTCAAGGAATATTTAGATAATCACTTTTACAATCTTTATTTTACTGTGTGATATGAAAAATTGATCATAAAGTCTGCGGAAATTATTCAACATGAATTATCGTAAAAATGTACACAAGATGGTTGTTACAATATCAAAATATGTTCAAAAAAGTTATATCATTCATTCAAAACAATATTTTATTGTATTTTGAAGAATAAAGATTTTTATTTTCTTCCAAAGAGGCAATCAATCAAGAACTTTATAATAGAGGACAGTACAGTTTGTCCAAAACAATCGGCGATGAAGCTGCTGTACACCACCTCCAACCACCGCGCCTTCAACATTACCATGTATGTCCTAATCCTGCTTGATATGGTCAACCTCACCTTCGCTCTCCTTAGCCAGTTCCACATCTACTGGACCGATAAGGCTTTCATCTTCAGAGTTATCAACGTCATCTTCCTCTCATTCTATATCATAGAAGCTCTTGTCAGAGTAAGTGATGTTAGCAACTGAAAGCAGTTGTCTTTTAGTTGACATGTTTCCCAGTATCAGCACTAGATGGTATTCTCATTACATACTGTTGTATGATAAATTCAAATTATCTACCTGTATTAGATCTTTTCCTTGTTATAAACACTTGTATATATTCCCAATAATCTACTTTGTATTTATCTCATATCAGATCCTGGTACAGAAAAAACGATTCCTGAGTAATTGTTGGCATAACTTCTGCCTGTCAATTATCTTTGTTGGCATTGTGGATGTTGTTCTCAGTTTTGCTTTGCCATCTGTCTACGGAGAAGATGACAACCTGATAAGTATTGTTCTTACAGTGTTTATCTGTCTGCGTATTGTCAGGATCTTCAGATTTCTCGAGGTAATTATCTTATGAAAAATTAATTTACAATCCAGACACTTTGATAAAATTCTATTTGATTGCACTCTGACTGACATTCAGTAGATTTTAAATACTTAAGCAGAGTATATCAAACTTCAGGATTATGTATCAGAGAAAAATTTATTTAACTTAGTCAGAAAGCATTAAACAAAACAAATTGAATTCAAGAAGTTATAATCCCTATGCTAGGGGGGTGGGGTGGGGTGGGGGGTGGGGGGGTAATGAGTACAAAGGAGTAAGTCCAACACAGTAATTCTTCCGTATACTGGATGTTTATTGCGGAGCCGTTATCAAAACAACTCTGTACTTCAGTCTACTTTCTATAATCTCTACTTTATCTGCTGTACATATTTTTACCCATGGCTCATTGTAATTGTTGAATTTGGATGTCACCTATTTTGCTTGCTTACACTGGTATCCATGACGACGTCACAATACACTGCGTTGAGCTGTTGTTCTAATGACAGCTCACCTAGAGCTGAAACATGTTAACAACACTCCGTAATAACCATCCAATATACAAAAGAACTACCGTGTTGCACTCACTCCTTTGTTCTCATTACCTGAATTCTAGAAGGTTTGACGTGGTGATGATATGGTACATTATGTGGTGTGCTGTTTTTATTATAGCATCTTGATATATGTTAGGAGAAATAAACAATATCAAGATGTCAAAAACCCTTTGAAATGTTTTATGTTTTGTAGCCAGCCATGCCATTGCTTATGTCTTTGGTGAAGAATGTTATCAGTCACCACCTTAGTTACGGCTATGATGTGGGAAGGGGTTATGTAGCCGGCGAGGAGGAAGTTCGAAAACTTGTCGATCATATGGTGGACCAACGCGAAATATCCAAAACTCTCAAGCAGGTCAGCGACAATGGCAGACTGGATGTTATCAGGTGTCTGGGTAAGTGTGGAACATTATCAGGTGTGTGGGTAAGTGTGGGACATTATCAGGTGTATGGGTAAGTGTGGGACATCATCAGATGTGTGGGAAGTGTGGGACATTATCAGGTGTATGGGAAGTGTGGGACATCATCAGATGTGTGGGAAGTGTGGGACATTATCAGGTGTGTGGGAAGTGTGGGACATTATCAGGTGTGTGGGTAAGTGTGGGACATAATCAGGTGTGTGGGTAAGTGTGGGACATCATCAGATGTGTGGGAAGTGTGGGACATTATCAGGTGTGTGGGAAGTGTGGGACATTATCAGGTGTGTGGGTAAGTGTGGGACATTATCAGGTGTGTGGGTACGTGTGGGACATTATCAGGTGTATGGGTAAGTGTTGGACATTATCAGGTGTATGGGTAAGTGTGGAGCATCATCTGGTGTGTGGGAAGTGTGGGACATTATCAGGTGTATGGGTAAGTGTGGGACATTATCAGGTGTTTGGGTAAGTGTGGGACATTATCAGGTGTGTGGGTAAGTGTGGGATATTATCAGGTGTATGGGTAAGTGTGGGACATTATCAGGTGTGTGGGTAAGTGTGGGACATCATCAGGTATGTGGGAAGTGTGGGACATTATCATTTGTGTGGGTGTGTTGGATATTATCAGGTGTGTGGGTAAGTGTGGGACATTATCAGGTGTGTGGGTAAGTGTGGGTCATTATCAGGTGTGTGGGAAGTGTGGGACATTATCAGGTGTGTCGGTAAGTGTGGGACATTATCAGGTGTATGGGTAAGTGTGGGACATTATCAGGTGTGTGGGAAGTGTGGGACATTATCAGGTGTGTGGGAAGTATGGGACATTATCAGGTGTGTGGGTAAGTGTGGGACATCATCAGGTGTGGGAAGTGTGGGACATTATCATTTGTGTGGGTAAGTGTGGGATATTATCAGGTGTGTGGGTAAGTGTTGGACATTATCAGGTGTGTGGGTAAGTGTGGGACATTATCAGGTGTGTGGGTAAGTGTGGGACATTATCAGGTGTGTGGGTAAGTGTGGGACATTATCAGGTGTGTGGGAAGTGTGGGACATTATCAGGTGTGTGGGTAAGTGTGGGACATTATCAGGTGTGTGGGTAAGTGTGGGACATTATCAGGTGTGTGGGTAAGTGTGGGACATTATCAGGTGTGTGGGTAAGTGTGGGACATTATCAGGTGTGTGGGTAAGTGTGGGACATCATCAGGTATGTGGGAAGTGTGGGACATTATCAGGTGTGGGAAGTGTGGGACATTATCAGGTGTGTGGGTAAGTGTGGGACATTATCAGGTGTGTGGGTAAGTGTGGGACATTATCAGGTGTGTGGGTTAGTGTGGGACATTATCAGGTGTGTGGGAAGTGTGGGACATTATCAGGTGTGTGGGTAAGTGTGGGACATTATCAGGTGTGTGGGTAAGTGTTGGACATTATCAGGTGTGTGGGAAGTGTGGGACATTATCAGGTGTGTGGGTAAGTGTGGGACATTATCAGGTGTGTGGGTAAGTGTGGGACATTATCAGGTGTGTGGGAAGTGTGGGACATTATCAGGTGTGTGGGAAGTGTGGGACATTATCAGGTGTGTGGGTAAGTGTGGGACATTATCAGGTGTGTGGGAAGTGTGGGACATTATCAGGTGTGTGGGAAGTGTGGGACATTATCAGGTGTGTGGGAAGTGTGGGACATTATCAGGTGTGTGGGTAAGTGTGGGACATTATCAGGTGTGTGGGAAGTGTGGGACATTATCAGGTGTGTGGGTAAGTGTGGGACATTATCAAGTGTTTGAATTTGGGAAGAAATACTAAATATTGCATTCTTGCATGCAATTGTAAGAACTGCTTGTATGCAAACACTGAGTGAGAAATTGAACTTCGCCCCATGTAGAATTATGTACTGCAATTTCATGATGGTGTATTGTCAAAAATAGGAAATATATAGGACTTGATTCCGTAGGAAATATATAGGACTTGATTCCGTAGGAAATATATAGGACTTGATTCCGTCGTAATACTACATAATAACTACAGACAATATTATCCTAGGATTAAGTAATATCCACTATTTTCCCCCTTAGTAACAACTTAAATATTACTTTCCTTCACAGGTATGCTACAGAAACAGCACCCTGACATTGCTCTGTCCATCAAAACCCGCCAGGCTGTTCGAAGTGTCCTCAACAACCTCAGAGATGGCATACATGAACTTCTAAGTGACGGCATTATTGAAGAAACAGAAGGAATCAAGCTTGAAAAGGTATTATCTATTACTGATGTCTGTATAAGTAACAGTGCAAATGCTTTTTCGTTTGTCTTTATCCAATACATATCTTCCTTCTATACTTGCCAGTGTTTACTCCGCCATGGCCTAGCTATGATACTGCTCTGTATATTTGAGCTGAATTGATATCAAAAGTGATTGGTGATCCTGCCTTTCACTTAAGGTTTTACAATGTCAAAAAAAATAAAAAAAAGTTTTAGTGGGGCAGCATGGTGGTCTAGTGGTAAAGATGTCTAATTATCTTCACCACTAGCCCTCCACCTCTATAGGTTCTAGTCATACATAGGCCAGTCACCAGGTACCAGCTACAGGTCGGTGGTTTTTGTCTGGCAACTGCAGCTTTCCTCCACTATCCAAACCTGGCATGTTCTTAAATGACCCTGGCTGTTCAAAGGACTCTAAGAAATAATTAACTGAAAATCTAAACTAAATTAAAATTAAAACTAAAAATGGTTTTCACTTTTTAACCCTTTGTATGTTAAATGTTTAGTTTTCACTTTAACATTGTTGCAGATTGTAGAAGAGAAAATGAAACGACTACAGAGTGCACCACCCAGTCTTCCCCTCCCACCACCAGACAAGATGCTAAATAACGTGTTCTGGCTCCGTAATGATCAGAAACTCATCACATACATCAAGGTGGGAGCTCGGCAACCTTCAGTTTTATTCTGCTGTTATATTTAATACATATTTAAAATATCTAAAAACAGCCACAACTCTCAATTTTGGTCACAATTCTGTTAATTTATGTTGCAAATCCTTTTATGTTTTTTATATTCTTTGAAACATATATCAGTAATTGTTTCAAATTCTCCTGAAAAAGGGATCAGTATGATAAACAAGATTCTAATGTGTTTTTAAGTGAATATATTGATCTTCACAATTAAAGCAGTATGTAATGTTTGGAGAAATATCATTTTTTTTTGGAGAGCATTTATTACATTATCAGGAAATATACCAAAGAACTACGGTAGATGGAAGTGCCCATACAAACACAGCTCACACAAGTTGGATATTTTTTCTGATTTTCAGGAAAAAGCTAAATTACTGACATACAACTACGAAGACATTATTATAACAGAGGGAGACCCTCCTGGTGGTATCTACATCATAGTGTCGGGGATGGTCAGGGTAGGTAGCTCTCATTTTAGTTGCATGTATTCAGTTATATAATCACAGAGATGATATCACAACGTATAATGTCATTATATACAATGTAGGATAATCACTATGATTTGAATGCAAAATTTAAAAAATGCATTTTTTTGTGAATTTAAAAATCTTATTTTTATTGTTTTAGGTTTTAGGTGAGCATGTAAATGATAAATATTTATGTTCTATTAATTTTTTAAAGTACAGTACAAATTTTTTGAGAATTTTTTTTTTTGCTATAGCTGGTTTGCATGTCAGTATTGACATATTTATCTCTACAAATGTAGGACTTTAGGAATAACTTCACTTTCATTTTTTCTTCTATCATGATAAATCTAACAAATTAATGAAACAATTAATAAAAGGTGACTTTTAGTTACTTAAAACGAAGAAAAGAGTGATTTAGAATAAATACAAAGGTTGATGTTACTTGAATTAAGAAAATATCTTTGTGAAGCAAAAAATATGGACAAGAATTAATCAGGCAATTTAGAAATATCTTCATAAAGGTAGGTGATTACTTACTGTTGCTTACCTAAATATTTCATTCTCCATATCTTCTATCTTACATCTCTATCATTAGTTTGAGATGAGAATAGGTCCAGAACGTCATTATTCACACCACTCTCACCATGGACATTATCATCTTTACACTCGACCCCATGTAAGGTCGTATGCAAATTGCTTCCATTCTTGTCTTCAATTTAATCTTTGTTTGTTTGTTAGTTATTTTTATTATTTTGACAAAAACAAAATATTCCGTTCATGAAGATAGTAATTTATGGGACATGTTTTTTCTGTGTCAATTTACTGAAATACCTCTTTTTATCATTTCAACACAATATTATGCTATCAGATTTGGACAATAGTGATAACAAACAATTCAGGTTAATGTGACAGGACAATTATTTCTATGGCATAGTATATTAATCTTTTAACTGGAAACAGTACTGAACAAAACATGATTGGTGAAATGATCACCAAAATGGCCATTTAATACAAATAAACAATAATGTAGCATTTATTTAGGAGAATCAAAATGTCCTTCTGAAATTCTGTGATCATTTTAAGAACTCATAATGTCAGTAATATGATTTGTAACTTCCAATGAAGGACGAAACAGCTGTATGATGCAGTTTAATTCATCATTTGGCTCCACTATATCTAAATCTGTATTTGTATTTGAAGATGCCCTTGTGTGTCTTGTATTATCTATGTTTACAGTTTTTTTTTTTTGTTCAAAAGTCAAATTTAGTTTAAATTAGTTCTGTTATTTGTATTGTGAGCTAATTTTATGATATGTAGTACCTATGATCAAAAATGTTCAAAATTTCCTATATATTTCTGTGATTTAATGCTGTGAACTTCGTCCTTGACAAATTAATGTCTTGACGGGCAAATAACTGGACAATTTTCACAATACACTATAAAGATAACTGGACTATTTTATAATACACTATAAAGATAACTGGGCTATTTTATAATACACTATAAAGATAACTGGACTATTTTATAATACACTATAGAGATAACTGGACTATTTTATAATACACTATAGAGATAACTGGGCTATTTTATAATACACTATAGAGATAACTGGGCTATTTTATAATACACTATAGAGATAACTGGGCTATTTTATAATACACTATAGAGATAACTGGGCTATTTTATAATACACTATAGAGATAACTGGACTATTTTATAATACACTATAGAGATAACTGGGCTATTTTATAATACACTATAGAGATAACTGGGCTATTTTATAATACACTATAAAGATAACTGGACTATTTTATAATACACTATAAAGATTCAGTAAAAAACAACCCACTTAGATAAATAACTTAGTGTAGTTGATCTTATGAATATAGATTTGGAGCTGCACTACAGAAGAAGTTTTAAGGCCTTATGAAATCCCTCTAGCTTTGGCAACAAACTTTCCCATGACAAATACATTACAATCCTTTGCACTGTGTCTATAAAATGAATAAAAAAAAATGTGCTTTTAATGGTAGTAAGGCCATCAGTATTTCAAATCTTGGCCATTAAAAAGATACACTCATAACATTTACGTCCATTATATCCTCATCACTTTAATGGCCATTAAATTCTATCAGTCATTAATTAAAAGGAATGGATGTTTTAATGACCATTAATTGAAAAAAATAACATTTATACATTTACATTATTTTAACTGACCCTAAAAGGGTTTAAACATAGAGCATTACTTTCATGTTAATGACAATTGAAAATCTACACTGATGGCCATTTAGTGTTGATGTTGAAGTATGTAGTATTTGGACAAAGCCGTAGCTATGTCTAGGAAAAACACAAAGTTTTAAGAAGAAATAAGGTTATTGTTTTAATGGAAAATTGTAATAATAATGATAAGGAAATGAGACCTACCCAGAGTACAACACCAAACATTGATTTAGTAATAATAGGTACCAGATCAATTCAAACAAGATATCATGGTGTATTTTTATGCGCCAACGACACTTTACCTTAATTTCATAGCGTTTGCAAGAATGAGTAATTACTTAGGCTGTGGTAGTGTTGTCAGAAATGGTAAAATGTATGTATAAGAGAAATCTTAGGAATTCTCATTAGAATTGTTGTTGCTGAAAATGGGAAAGTAAAGAACCTGTGTAAATAAGGATATAGTTATAAGATAAAGATGCCATGCTCCATAATTGATCTGTATTCGTTATGTATTTTTTGACATCAAAGGAGGTGAAAGACTTTGATCAGGTGATGATAGCATTTTATTACTTTATCATGGGAACATTTTATTGCTTTCATTTCACAAATATTTTATTGAAGAAACTTCAAAGGGTGTTAGGCAACAGGTTAAGCCTATACAAGCCCTTTCCCTCTTGCTTATATTCCTGCGTTTTCATCACTCTCCCACAACAAATCAGGATCCAAGATATCAGTATAAACGTTTCATAACCTCTTTTGTATTTCATCTCTAAACCTGTATGAGTGTTTTGTCCACACCCAAAATCAGTGTCTCATTCATAGGAATGATATTTTTACCATATTATAGCTAAATCATGCAGCTCATCAAAATAAATCAATTCGATGCTAATTACAGCAGTCAAGCATTTTACTGCCTGGGACTTACATTTAATCCAAATGCTCATCCTTAGAACTTGGTAAATAGGGTTCATGGTTTTTAACGACACATAACTAATCTTGTTTATGTGTCTTTTATAGACTCAATGCATTCCTTCACATTCTCCTGGATTGATAAAGCTTGCTATTACATTTGTTCATCGCTGTAAATGAAAATTGAAATGATTATAACAGAAAAAGAACTTGTTCTTTCTGTTGTTGTTTATATGAATCCGAAAAAAAAATTGTCATGATGAAGCAGAAGTCTTAGTTGTCATGTTGATGCCTGTTATATTTTGATTTTGCTTATGTAGTAAGAACAGATGTCTGTCGACTCTGTAAATATTTATTAGTGAAATGAATTGAATATTGTATGGCAATCTGATTAAAATGTACATCTTGGAAACTTGAAACATTAAGAACTGCGGTAATTATCTCTATGTAGGTTAAAAAAAAGCATTCATTATGACAAAAATAAAATCTAAATTTATCAACATCGGATTCCCACTTGTTGACAGTTTACAAATTTTTCATCATACACTGGGGAAAAAAAAAGATGATCAAGTGATGCCTAACTATAAGTTTATAGAAAAAACATATTTAGCTTGTTTTACATTACAGAACCAATTGTGTTAACCTTCTGTTATATTTACTGTGTTTTTATTTAGCTGGAAAAATTAATGTCCGACACAGATCAGGTGAGCTAGCTTCTGACCTAGAGCTTGTGATATATGCTATTTCTGTAACCCCAGATCTCGATATGATACACTGTACCTGTATATAACAATATGTAGTTCGATTCGCATAAGGTCAGCACCCTGCATTACAGCTACGTGAACGATGTCTGGAATACGTCAGTGAAGCACCACACTATCAATGTGTACCCCTGCACTATCTTATTGCACTACATCAGTAAAACACTATCAGTGCATTACGTTTGTGTGATATTTAACTCTAGTTTTGTGAAAGTTTGCTATCATGACTGTGACACGACGCTGCTGTTGTATAACACTACATTTCGCAGGTGTAACTCTCAACTACGTTTGTGTAATATCACACTACTCTTGTGTGTATAACACTACGCTTGCAATGGTAACATTATATTATGTATGTTTAACAACACGCTACTGTCATTTAACATTATTACTGCACAACACTATTGTGTAACACTAAAACTGTACTTGTAAAACACTACACTTCTCCTGTGTAAAACACTACACTTCTCCTGTGTAAAACACTACTTTTCTCCAGTGTAAAACACTTCACTTCTCCTGTGTAAAACACTACTTTTCTCCAGTGTAAAACACTTCACTTCTCCTGTGTAAAACACTACTTTTCTCCAGTGTAAAACACTACACTTCTCCTGTGTAAAACACTACACTTCTCCTGTGTAAAACACTACACTTCTCCTGTGTAAAACTCTACACTTCTCCTGTGTAAAACACTACACTTCTCCTGTGTAAAACACTACACTTCTCCACTTCTCCTGTGTAAAACACTACACTTCTCCTGTGTAAAACACTACACTTCTGTGTAAAACACTACACTTCTCCTGTGTAAAACACTACACTTCTCCTGTGTAAAACACTACTTTTCTCCAGTGTAAAACACTACACTTCTCCTGTGTAAAACACTTCACTTCTGTATAAAACACTACACTTCTCCTGTGTAAAACTCTACACTTCTGTGTAAAACACTACACTTCTCCTGTGTAAAACTCTACTTTTCTCCTGTGTAAAACACTACACTTCTCCTGTGTAAAACACTACACTTCTGTGTAAAACACTGTAAAACACTACACTTCTCCTGTGTACACTTCTCCTTCTCCTGTGTAAAACACTACACTTCTCCTGTGTAAAACTCTACACTTCTCCTGTGTAAAACACTACACTTCTCCTGTGTAAAACACTACGCTTCTCCTGTGTAAAACACTACTCTTCTCCTGTGTAAAACACTACACTTCTCCTGTGTAAAACACTACACTTCTCCTGTGTAAAACACTACACTTCTCCTGTGTAAAACACTACACTTCTCCTGTGTAAAACACTACACTTCTCCTGTGTAAAACACTATACTTCTGTGTAAAACACTACACTTCTATGTAAAACACTACACTTCTCCTGCGTAAAACACTACACTTCTCCTGTGTAAAACACTACACTTCTGTGTAAAACACTACACATTTTTTCTGTGTAAAACACTACACTTCTCCTGTGTAAAACACTACACTTCTCCTGTGTAAAACACTACACTTCTATGTAAAACACTACACTTCTCCTGTGTAAAACACTACACTTCTCCTGTGTAAAACACTACACTTCTCCTGTGTAAAACACTACGTAAAACACACTTCTCCTGTGTAAAACACTACACTTCTCCTGTGTAAAACACTACACTTCTCCTGTGTAAAACACTACACTTCTGTGTAAAACACTACACTTCTCCTGTGTAAAACACTACACTTCTCCTGTGTAAAACACTACACTTCTCCTGTGTAAAACACTACACTTCTCCTGTGTAAAACACTACACTTCTCCTGTGTAAAACTCTACACTTCTCCTGTGTAAAACACTACACTTCTCCTGTGTAAAACACTACACTTCTCCTGTGTAAAACACTACACTTCTATGTAAAACACTACACTTCTACTGTGTAAAACACTACACTTCTCCTGTGTAAAACACTACACTTCTCCTGTGTAAAACACTACACTTCTCCTTCTCCTGTGTAAAACACTCCTGTGTAAAACACTACACACTTCTCCTGTGTAAAACACTACACCTGTGTAAAACACTACACTTCTCCTGTGTAAAACACTACACTTCTCCTGTGTAAAACACTACACTGTGTCTCTTCTGTGTAAAACACTACACTTCTCCTGTGTAAAACACTACACTTCTCCTGTGTAAAACACTACACTCTCTGTGTAAAACACTACACTTCTCCTGTGTAAAACACTACACTTCTCCTGTGTCTACACTTCTGTGTAAAACTACACTTCTCCTGTGTAAAACACTTTTCTCCTGTGTAAAACACTACACTTCTCCTGTGTAAAACACTACGCTTCTCCTGTGTAAAACACTACACTTCTCCTGTGTAAAACACTACACTTCTCCTGTGTAAAACACTACACTTCTGTGTAAAACTCTACTTTTCTCCTGTGTAAAACACTACACTTCTCCTGTGTAAAACTCTACACTTCTCCTGTGTAAAACACTACACTTCTCCTGTGTAAAACACTACACTTCTCCTGTGTAAAACTCTACACTTCTCCTGTGTAAAACACTACACTTCTCCTGTGTAAAACACTACTCTTCTCCTGTGTAAAACACTACACTTCTCCTGTGTAAAACACTACACTTCTCCTGTGTAAAACACTACACTTCTCCTGTGTAAAACACTACACTTCTCCTTTGTAAAACTCTACTTTTCTCCTGTGTAAAACACTACACTTCTCCTGTGTAAAACACTACACTTCTGTGTAAAACACTACACTTCTCCTGTGTAAAACACTACACTTCTCCTGTGTAAAACTCTACACTTCTCCTGTGTAAAACACTACACTTCTCCTGTGTAAAACACTACACTTCTCCTGTGTAAAACACTACACTTCTGTGTAAAACACTACACTTCTCCTGTGTAAAACACTACACTTCTCCTGTGTAAAACACTACACTTCTCCTGTGTAAAAAACACTGTGTAAAACACTACACTTCTCCTGTGTAAAACACTACTCTTCTCCTGTGTAAAACACTACACTTCTCCTGTGTAAAACACTACACTTCTCCTGTGTAAAACACTACACTTCTGTGTAAAACACTACACTTCTCCTGTGTAAAACACTACACTTCTTCTGTGTAAAACACTACACTTCTATGTAAACTACACTTCTGTGTAAAACACTACACTTCTCCTGTGTAAAACACTACACTTCTCCTGTGTAAAACACTACACTTCTCCTGTGTAAAACACTACACTTCTGTGTAAAACACTACACTTCTCCTGTGTAAAACACTACACTTCTCCTGTGTAAAACACTACACTTCTCCTGTGTAAAACTCTACTCTTCTCCTGTGTAAAACACTACACTTCTCCTGTGTAAAACACTACACTTCTCCTGTGTAAAACACTACACTTCTCCTGTGTAAAACACTACACTTCTCCTGTGTAAAACACTACACTTCTCCTGTGTAAAACACTACACTTCTGTGTAAAACACTACACTTCTCCTGTGTAAAACACTACACTTCTCCTGTGTAAAACACTACACTTCTGTGTAAAACACTACACTTCTCCTGTGTAAAACACTACACTTTGTCTCCTGTGTAAAAAACACTTCTCCTGTGTACTGTGTAAAACACTTCTGTGTAAAACAAACTTCTCCTGTGTAAAACACTACACTTCTGTGTAAAACACTACACTTCTCCTGTGTAAAACACTACACTTCTTCTGTGTAAAACACTACACTTCTGTGTAAAACACTACACTTCTCCTGTGTAAAACACTACACTTCTGTGTAAAACACTACACTTCTGTGTAAAACACTACACTTCTCCTGTGTAAAACACTACACTTCTCCTGTGTAAAACATCATTACACTTTTATTATGCATTTGTGTGACCACGTACTGTTATTAGATTGCATTTGCACTTGATTTTGTGTTGTATAAACACACAATGGCTTTAGTATTAAGTACACTTTATAGTTACAATGTAATCATACACTTTAAACATGTTTATAACTTCATTATATGTTAACTTGCAGTCACTGATGCAATAATTGTTGAACAATAACATACCTTGTACCTATATACCACTTACTAACTGTGCCTTTACTATGATAATTGATATATTTATATGTGTGTGTGAGTATAAATTTAAAAAAAAATTATGTTTAGCTGAATTCTTCTCAAATTTTGCAGTTCTATTCAAAATACTGTGAAAGACATGAATATTTAATTATGTAAATCAACATTAAAAAATTTACTTTAAAAATATATTTTTTTAAAAAAAAAAATCAAAAGGACTGATAATGAATATCATTCTTTAGTATGTGATCGAGTTTTTACACTTGTGATTTGAACATTACCTAGGCTCTTGTGTATCGTCCACCACAACCTGCTGGACATTCTCTACGTAAGAAACACACCACTCGCCATTCCAGGGTAATATGTGACTTTCAGCTATGTATGACTGGGGTTTGGTGGATGCCTGTTATTGCTGTATTCATGCTTGCTAAATCCAAAATGGATGCTCCTACATAAAATCAGTCATACCTTTCATCGATATGTCATGAAAATCATTCAACATTGTAAAATGAAATAATAAGAAAAGCTATCGTAATGGAGTTAGATAAATAGAGAAGGGACAAGTTTTTCATTGATTTTCGTTTTTAGATTTTTTTTTATGGTAAATCTTAAATTGCCTGTAAAATGTTGGTTATTTGACATCGATATAGATTTCATCCATTCATAACTTTTACAAAGTCATAACATATAGATTTTTATGTTTTTCGTTAAATTCTTCATATTCTACTTCAAAGAAAACCAGTAATTATGCCATTGTTAAATGTAACATATAGATGTACAGTCATTGAAGCACAATATTACTCACGCTTGTATTAATTCACAAGATCAGATGATCTCGGCATATTGCGAATCTAATCATATATGATTTTTTTTTCAAATGATTGGTGATTAGTGTTTAAAGAATGCTAATTAATATTGCAAAGTTAGGCTTTAGCCTTAGATTATCATCAGTGCTTTGGGGAAAACTAGGTCATTCAGTCTGTGAATGGAAATATTATATATGGCTGTCTGTGATGTGAAGCTGTAGGACAACTACAAGGCATTACATAAGATTAACCTTAAAATTAGTTGTTTTCACATAAATTTCTTGAATCCCAGTGTTGAAAGTTCATCTATCAGTAGTCGATATATTGCACGAAATTTGCGACATTGGGAACAACCACTCGAATGAAATGCTTGCGACATGTAAACAACATCAGGTAAAAAATGGAAAGCAAAAAATAATACATAGATGCTGTAATTTGAGACTTTGACAAAATACATGTAACACACTAGGTAAAATGTAAGGCAAACAAAATACAGCAAAAACTTAATGGTTCATTATTAAATTCAAAGGTCACTGGAACTCATATCACTAATTGCGCATATAAGTTTTGTTAGAATGATGTGAGATGAGTTCCTTGTTTTTTTATTTTCAGTGTGTCCAATTTCAATTACATCAATCTGTTAGGATGTGTATTATATTTTTCCAACGTTTGAAAAAATATATAAAGATATTCAACATGCATATATTTTTTGCAGGGTAGTATTTTGTACCTGATGGATATGTTACAGTGTGAACAGTTAAAAACTTCTTTTAAATCAATTTATTTGCAGCTATTATTTAATTGAAAAATAAAACATTTTTGTGATATTTGACTTAGAAATCATCCTATTTAGTGACAAACTATTTTTTGAGTTAAGGAGCATGCTAATTATTGTCTACAGTTTTGAAGGAAAATTTGTTAAAAATTTAAGAAAAAAATATAATGTGCAGTAATGTTAATTGAACTTAAATGAAATGAAAAAAAAAGATAATTGGACAATTTCACAGCCGAAATCAGAATGGAGACTGTTTTAATCGTAAAAAAAACACAAACAAAAAAACAAACAACAATACAAAAACAAAAAAATTAATAGCTGTATTAAAATATGACGGCTTTGGTGAAATCTTTTGTTCTTCCATCATCAAACTGCAAAGTAGGGTGTGCAGGACAAAACAGCTTTGTGACGCAATTTATTTCATGATTTAACAATGTTGTATCTAATTGTAAATTTGTGCTGAAAGGTGCAATTCACTTTTGTGTTCTTTGTACAATCCTATACTAAATTTCACCACAATAGCTACTACATAAACTTAGGACAAGCTTTTCAAGTATTAACCCGTGGTGCTTATATAAGTATGCAATACAAATAGCTTGTGCATCTCTATGTGCTATTTTTACTTTGTTTCATATGCTTAGAAATTGCTATCTGTGATACCGTGCAACATTATATCAGTATCTGAGTATGTGTTAGTAGTTAATGATGAAGAAAGTTCATTTAAAAACCTCAGTTTACGTTTCAACAACATGAGTGAAAAATTAGTCTGGTTTCCTCTTCGATATCTGCATATGTGTATGATTTTAAGATGACATTTTCAGCTCTATACAAAACGCACTTCAAGACTTCATTGTTCTCTAACTGTTGACTTGAATCAATATTGGGATGTAATATATAGTCTGCTTTGAATAACGTAAGGTTTGTATAATGCATACATGAAATGGTTTTTAATTTATATATACTTTACATCACCAGCTTGAGTCTACCTCCCAGCCTGGTAAACCAATTTTGGATGACCATCCGTCTGGCTCACAGCTTGAGATCAAATCCAACTTGATTGACTTCCTGACAGCAGGCAATATCATTGGAGAGATGGGATTTCTCACAAAGAAACCTCGATCGGCTACCGTTATTTGTGAAACTGCAGTACAGGTAATTCGCTTTCATTTAATTTTTAGAGGAGTAGAAATAATTTATTCTCTAAATATGTCTTAATGTGGTGAAAGATTAAAATATAAAATTCTCTAATAGTTTAAAACTTGTCATCATTCAGACTCTGTGACGAGAGTAATAACCAAATGAAATTGTGGTTTGTTCATTTAGCCTGTCGTGCAGATATATTATCATTAACTTTATTTGGTACTATTGTAGCTGCTGTTTATTAGTTTTGAAGACATGGAGTATGCCCTGACTCACTTTAACGACAGCGATCCCTCCCTTGAGTATCGATTATGGCATGTTTGTGCCAACCGCATTGCCACAAATGTGTTGCTGAAACAGATGTCCTACCAAGGTTGGACGAAGGAGAAAATCAAATTGCGCCTTGAGAACTCCTACCTCCTGGATTCCGATGACATCGAAGTGTTTACTGTTGATTCCTCTATGTCAGATGTCGTACTTGTCAATGGTTAGTATAGAATGCATTTAACTGAAATTCAAATTTAAGTCAAGCATGTGAAAATTGTACAAAAGGCATGCAAGTGAATAGAACGTTTTAATAATTTTGAATCAGACACTGTAGAGCCAAGCAATGAATTAAACTGCATCATATAGCTGTTGAGTCCTTCTAGGACTCCTCAATGATGCTAACAGCCGAAATAAAAACAGAACTTAGAATGAACTTAGTATCGGATGAGCACAAACTGCTTGATACAAGAATGGAAATAAATATTTTTCCCATTTCCAAAGGAACAAGGATGATAATATAAATATACTTTGAAATCAAATTTATCGTACTGTCCCTTGTTGGCAAATTCATAAATGAAAAATTAGTGCATCTGCAACTCCAAAAAAAACTTAAATAAAATTACCGCGAAAATAAATTGGCAATTTCATTCATAAAGCTCTATTCATGCATTAATCCAGTGAAATGACTTGTTGACTATTTGCAGGTTTCGCACAGAATGCATTTACACAAGAACAGATTGTCGGACCAGCATACATTCCCTGGACTGTCTTGAAACTTGAATTACTGGTAAATAGAGAATATTTACTGTCTTCAGTAATTGCAAGTATATTGCTCTTAAATTTCTCTCATTTTCATGTTTTGCAGTTACTGACATCCTCTTTGAATTATATTGGAATTTATATTCATACATGTGTTATGTGTTTTTACCTTTCTTTTCATGTTGTCTCACCAGCCTGACAAAGGACCCAAGCCTGTGTTATTGATTGTTCCTACAGAGGTAGGACAGCCTCATCATACTCAGCATAAGTCGAGCCATGATGTGCGACATGGCCATGGTGCTTTCATCTCATCCATCTCACAGCTTTGTCTAAATCATGCCTCCAAACATCGCAAAAACGCCGAGTCTAAATGGAAGGTAAGCTAACAAAAGTGGAAATCCTCAGAATGTGGTCATTTCCGATCGACCCAGTCATGACTTGAGAGAGTAGGATTTAAGTGTCAATACACGTAACTTCATAAGACAAACAAAATATTTTAGTTTGTACAAAACATATTTAGATACTGATTCTGCTACCGCTGATACAAAAATCAAAATGAGCGAGCTCTTTTGTAAAAAAAAACATTCAGTTAATACTATACTTCATTTTTAAATGTCTCCCTGCAATTACGAAGTCAAAAAGGCAAATAATCGCCAGTAATTGATTTTTAATACATCCTCTGTCTCTGTTGGAAAACATAGTAGTGATACAAATTAAGTTGTGTACCCCAAATCAATTAATGTGACACTTATAATTCGCGTGGGATTTATTTTCGCCTTAATATTTGAAGAGAGTTTATCGCAATTCAGATCTGTTATATCGAATGATTAAAGCAAATCTATTTATTTGTACAGAAATTATTCTCGATGACTTCATGTTGATTTGGTAACAGATATTGGTGTAATATGTATAAAAGCCTATATTTCGCGAATTTTAAGTCATTTTTAGATCTCTGTTCATGCTATCATGTATCTGCGAATATGTCTGAAGAGGAAAATTACTTAAAAGTACCACTGCATTCGCGGTTGATGCATCTATCTGTTTACTGTTGGAATGAACTTATTACTAATAAAATGAAAATGGTTTGTACGGCTATGGGTTGCTAGGGATAATGCCAGGCTTTGCATTGTTTTGAAGTCATCTGACCTGCGGTTAGGGATTGAAATTATAGCCATAATGTTTCATCTGCCGTTGTCCACCGTACGTAAACCTTTTTTTAATATACATTTTAAACCTCTCAAGCTCAGTCAGTGAGAGTTAAATTACACTTGCCGGAAATAATTCTGAGATGGTCAGTCCAAAATCTGGTATGGCCACCATCTTTTAAAAGCTTGTTTTAAGCATTCCTAGTTACGCTGGTGCTGTTGAGCTGAACATTTGTGGGACTGTTGCAGAATGTTAAGCAAAGGAAGCGAAAAAGGTTTTTTATTTTTCAAACTCATTGGAAGTTGACTATGACAGCATTTTTGTAACATGAATGTACATTCAAGGTATCCCTGAACAATGGTGATGTTTACTTTGGCTACAGTGGCAATCTATAAAACACATTTTAAACTTCATTTTCGTTCCACTGGTGTCCTACGAGTAGAAATTTTGTGGGAGTGTTGGCAAACTGAAATGAACAGTGATGTTGACGTTTACTGCTGAAATATTAAAAATGTAACAATTTTTAAATAACATTTCCAATTACAACTATGGATATCATGTCATCAGATGATCGATTGAGCCCGTGGATCTCGTGGTAAGGGATCCAATCATGCAACTGGGACTTTTATCAAATGCTGCCAATGTTATGTTTGAGACTGATTTACCGGTAGAAGGGTAGAAACATTGGTTTGGTTTTGCATTTTGTCAATGGCCAAGGCTTGTGGCTTTTTATTATACTTACATACGTGTTTCATTGTACTTGTACTTCAAGGTTCTGTGCTTCGTACTCCATGAAAGTTAAAAAAAAAAAAAAAACAATATTAAAAGAAGTAAATAATGGCTGCTAATCTCAAGATATCCATACAGTACAAAAACAAAATAAAACAAATAAAAAATAAAAACGATTCGAATTTACGGTGTCTGATGCAAACAATTTTCTTTATAGCTTAAAATCCATCAGATATATTATGAAACAATGTACTATTGTTTAGTGAACAATGACCGCGTTTGCATTCAGTCAAAGACGTCTGGTAGACCTGTTTAAAGTACAGGGTTTTAAATACCAAAATTTTAACTGTTTCTCAATGCCGAATCAAAACAGCAATCTTTGGAACAATGACACCATGAAATGAAACAACACTTGAATCGGAGTTTGAAGGAAAATAGATCTTGATTTAAATATTTTGAATAATGTAGCGTATACAAACTCTAGACAAAATTATTTACATACAAATTATCGTTGAAATAAGGATATGAGTCTGTTTGCGAGCACTAGAATCATTTCTCAAAAAAGATCATTTGCCTATACAAAGCTATTTCCAATGAAGAATTAGATTCTATATGCGAGTTATCTTGAATTTACAAGAGATATGTTGCTTGAGTGATTTGATTTTCCTCTGAAAATTAATACACGTAGGAAATTCTATATTACGGTCATTATTGTTGAGATTAAAAATTAAAAAAAGTGCCGATTATTGAATATGTCAAGAATATAAATCTACGAATTCTTTTATTTTCCCGTATCGTTGTACATTTGTGTTAGTTCACACTATCACTATCGCACAAGTGTGCAGAAAATACTGATATTATGAATATGAAAGTTCTATCAAAACTTAATTTCTTTTAAACTACATACGATGAAAGAATTTTGTTAAAAATTTGCAGATGGAAATTATGATTTAGAGGTAAAATTATCGTTGACTTCATCCACCGACCACATTTGTCCTTTGTGTACGTCATAAATAAAGAATAAAAACATATTAAACGCATAAAAATGTAGACATAATATTCACTTTTCCAATATGCTGCAGCTTTGCACAAAATACTGATCCTTGCTTTGGTTTTACAGCAGGACATTGCTCGCAAACGGTCAATACAGGTATGAATATGTCTGTATCTTTACTCGTTATCTCGTCTGTCTACTACGTACCACTGTATTTTTGTGTTTTTATCTAATCAGCGAGGAATGACGTCCATTCTGTTATGTGTGTCATTGTGTATATGTGTTTTATAACATATTTCTTCCAAGATTATCTTTATAAAAGCTTGGAATCAGTTTTCAGCAAATGACTATCACCATTGTTTAACAATAATTTGATCAGATTTTACTGTTGTTTCTTAAAGATGTGTCAGATAACCACAAGCTTATTTTTAGTAAAAATCCTTGAAGGATCATATATCGATTAATTTGTGAGATTGTTTGTCAGTATCCGATATAAATCAGTCGAATCGCGCCAATCGGAGCGAGTATTTTAACATCAAAGTAACGATGATATTAAAATATAAAGTTGTTGGAGAAAACGGTCATGGTACTATCAAGGAAGATGTGTAAATTGTCTCTTTCTATATATAACTAATTTTTCAGGTGTTCTGTTCATGTAAATTATTCAGATATCAACAGATTAGTGGATGAGAGAAAGGATTTTTTGTGAAAATGTTACAAATGGTTGGGTACAGATATAGATTCACATTTTCAGCATTAAACGTGTGTTTGCAAAATGTATGTAAACTAGAACGGTACCAGATAACTTCGAGAAAACTAACGTACATAACTGATGATTTTCAAAGTTAACAAATCCCCAAAATATCCTAATTGGTGTAAAAACCTATCCACTTTTCCCACAAGGTATGTAAAATGACGTTTAAAATTAAACTTTAATACATCAATTGGGGTTTTCGTAAATTAACTAGTTAAGTTTATTGCCAGAGGATAAGCAGCATGTATGTTCAGTTTGTTGCACGTGCTAGTTGATATAATTATAGTGAAAGTCTTGTGTGTAACATTTGTATTTCAACTGTGCGTTAGTTATTGTCTTCTGTCTCTGTCAAGTTGTCAAACATTTCCGGTTGTTATCTTTTCGTCTTTCCAAACGTGTAAGCAATGATTCCTTGTGTAAAGAAATATATATAAAATTTTTTTTTTTAATTTTTAGGAACGTGTTATGGTTGAGATATTTGTGCATGTATTTGTTAGTTCAGACTAGGGTCAGGTGATGTGTTCCAATGTCCATGGCTTCATTAGTACTAATGGCTAAAATCACATTTCTCGCAAAGTTGGTTATGGAATTGGTCGGGTCATGTGGTGATTTCACTAACAGTTTGGTTTAAAATCTAACAACAATGGAAATTAAAGCACAAGGGTATATGGGGATTTAGTTGGGTGATTAACATGAAGAGAATATAACAACGTATTTATTTGTTAACATGAACAGAATTATACTAATGTGCATGAATGATTTATGTTTTGATTTACAGAAAGTTCAACATGCAAAAAGTCTTGGAGTATTATTTAGCAAGGGTCGGATCAATGATGACGACAAACGAAAAAGTGTAACGTCAAACGGAAATATCAACAGGCAAGTGAGCCCCGACGGGGATGAGGAGGATGACAAGGTTTAAATCAAATAACATGTTTGATTAAGGAACCGTGTGTTTAGAAGACGCGTCTCAATTTTCACCACAAGTGCAAGTCACATGTCTTTGCGAGAAGCAATGCGTATGTGAAATTAAATTTTCGACTTTTTACTCCATAAAGACAAAGGCATAGCAACATCGAATCCCTATAGCGACGCTACTGAAACTGCAGTTAAGCGGGAACTATTGCCCGTATCTTTTTCGTTTTTGTCTTAGAATAGGGAACTGTTTTGTTTATGATACATCACTTACTTTAATCATGGTCCAAGGTCCATCCAAATTTTTAAAAAAGTATTGAAAGGAAAGATGATGAAAAATTGAAATCATATAACAGTAATGAAAAAACAAGGGATGGATTGCTTGATATGACCTAGGTCTAATAGAATGTTATGTCGGTATAACGAAACGATCAAGACCGAATGTAGAGATTATCTTCCAGATAATCAGACGTCATGGATCGTTTGACATTAACACTGTTATATTGTTATGTTACGATATGTAGGAGATAAAAGTCCCGCCCCCTGCACTGGAACAAATTATTGCATATAATGTATTATTCTAATTTACTTTTCCTCAAGGCCATCATTTTTCACTTTTCTATGCATTGTCATATTTGTAGTAATATCTCCACGAGCATGTATATGGTCAGGCTTGCTCCACTATTCAGCACCTAACGACTCATATGTTGCTTCACTATTGCGTCGCTTTGTGTGAACTGTCCAATCCATGTGTTGATCCGTGTCTCTATTAATGTCTGATTTATTTCATGTCGTTCTATGATGTTACCAGTGTCATGTCTTGTATGTTTTTCTATCTTTATTCTGAATGAATGCAATTTTCTCTTTTTTTTCTCTTTTTTTTTGTTTGTTTGTTACAAAAACACAGTTTTTAGGTACTTTTTTTTATCCTTTATCTTTTACACTTTTTGTTTTAAGTATATGTAGATTTTTGTTGCATCTATGATCTGCCATACAGGAACTTAAAAGTTCTTTATTCATTTTGTAAAATAATATTATAAGCTTACTATTACCGTTATTATTGGTGGTGATGATAACAACGTTTTAAAACGACACTGATTTATATTGTGTTAAAAATGAGTCCTCTGGCATTACCTTTAACGTAAACATGATACAAGATCTCGCTAAATAGTATAAACATATACTATGTACTGATTGAGTCTTACTTTCATGATATATGGGCTGTGATCTATTTATATATACATGTATACATACTATAAACATTTGATCAGAAGTGCTATTTTGTCTTTATTGCATTGTTAGTTGTTCATTTTCGGTACTTATTTATTGTTTGAATTTCATTATAACATATCCAGTTTGCCTATATACCGACAGAGAGTAGTATACCAATTAAGAAAGTATGATATTATCAAATCCATTGTAATTTCATTTCAATTTCACTTTATTTTATTCAATAACAACCGCTTATAACTTATCCTTAAAAAAAGTATACTAAAGATTTTATCATCATTATGAAATATTGAGAATATATCAAATTTTTCCACGTACTGGTAAATTTTCCTTAACCGCGAGAAAAAGAAAAATTGTCAATGTGTAAAGATATGCTCAAAAATGTCTTGAATAAGAAACATCCATCTTAAGAAAATTATAAGTATGAGTATAATATAGTAATAGTACAAAACGACAGAATAAGCTGTTTATCTCCTATGATATATCCGGAATGTATAAGCAAGAATGTGTAAACGTACATTAGTTTGGATGCTGGAACTTTTCAGGATCTAAAGTTCGAAGTTATCCTGATAATATAGTTATCCTGATAATAAGTTTTTTTCGTGAAGAAATATTCAAGCGTATGCGCTTTCAAAACGGCCTTAACATTCAGTGGCTTTATGAATAAAATACTTTTATATTTAGTATTTACAATTTGTTATTTTCTAGAAATATGATTTCTAGTTAGCCCTTTTATGTAGACAATCTTTAAACGTTTAAATATTGCACTGTGTTCTTCGTTCTTATTGCCTTTGTCGTAAATCATGAGCATCACAGTGTGTAAAATTCTACCTCATATTAATAGATTGAAGTATCTCCAAATTCCTCCATAGCACTCTGATGAGAATCATTTGCCACCATTGAAAAGAAATGTTGACATAAAAACAAATTTTTTCCCAGTTCATCCATACACAATCATTTCTTTCTTTGATTTGTAAACATCACTTCTGTACAATCATATTAATTCGAACATTTGACTGCCTGAATGCTACTTTTTGAAATTAAAATTCACTACGGAAACTGTTTATTGATAATCGCAAAACGAATACTTTATTTAAACAATAGAACAATAAAATTTATTTGAACAATAGCAATCTATATTAAACATTATTTGTTACTTTCAGCTGTATATTGAATGACTGGTAATAAAAATGATTCGAACCATGTCGAATATCTGACGTGCATATAGAAATCATGATAGTGACACTTTTTTTTTACTATTTGACATAGCGAACGTATTATATAAAATGTGGCAATTTTATACAGCATGTTTTTCACTTACTTTGGGGTTTCATTGATATTTTTATTGTATATTTATATATATTCTAAATGTCGTTTTAATACGAACTCGTATCCCGCTTACTATACATTTACATTTAGATAATTTGGTTGATTGTTTTCTATATGTGTGTGATATAGTGTCATTCACTAGTAACTGACCACCGAAGTAACGCTTCATTTCATTGGATGTTGTTAATTGGACAGTATCGATAATTGTATCATTTTGCAAAAACAGAAATATTGCTAAATGAAACCAAATTTACCGACACTGTTTTGAAATATTGCCTTTACCTTTTACATTTAGCTTGTCAATAAATATTTTTTGAGTAAGATGCGATTATTCTATAAAGAATGAAATGGAACAATTTAAAATTTGATATTATATCCACATTTGTGAAATAAGCAAGTTTTATTGCTTACACAAGCGTGTTTACCACAGACAGAAAGTAGTTAGGGCTAATACAATTTGCAGGTATATAAACTAATCACAACCGAAGACGACGTGTTATTGCATATATTTTTTTTACGAATCTCTAATGAACGAACTAATGCTAGCAGTTATTGATTAACAACCTATCATAGATGTGATTCATTAGACCAAATGAAATAATTACCGAAAGCATGTGGGTTAATGTTGCGCTCATAATGTTCATTATTGTATTTATTTGAAAAATACATTGTTGACATATATTCCTATGACGTTACAGTGTTTACACAGTATGCTGATTATTTCCACCGGCTGTCATATTGTCTGTATTTTGCGTTTTAAATTACGTTTGCTTGATTGGATAATCGTCAGTAGAATTAAAGAATGTCAGACAATTTTTTGTAAGACATCAACTTTCTTTTCGTTGATCGAAGCCGTGGTTATCTGTCAAGGTAACAGTGGTTGCTGTCTATTTTGAACAGCACCAGATTTGGTACACGCGGACTACTTCGTATATTAAAGTAGCAGCTGTAGCATCACTCTTGGTGATGATAGCATGGCAACAGCTTGATAAGTAGAAATTATCAAAATGATTTCAAAATGTACATTTCCGTGTATTTTAATTTAAATGAACAACATTAACCTACATTTGAAAGTACTAGAAACTAATTGATTGTCTCTCAATTCTGAAAAAGTTAACTAACCCGTTAATAAATCAAAGACAGCTTTATTTGAATATAGTTTGTATAGCTATATCAGCATTTCATCTCCACTGATACAAGCTTATGGTACGCACATTTGTAGCGTTTTCGTCGCGTGCTTACGTGTAAAAAGATGTAATATATTTGTTTGATTGTTTTGTGTTGTAACTTATTTGTCTTTGTACTTGTAATATGTGATGTTCATCTGCTATTTCTTTCGTTTGTGTTTCTGTACATTAAATTTTCTAGTTATGAAACTGGCCTTGTATTGATATTATTTCCGGAATGCATCGGATCCACAGAAAATCGTTATAATAGGGTATAGCGCAGTGATTCACACGTACCTGATAAATGAACCGTGTGTCTAGAAAACACGTCTCCCATTTTACTACAAGCACAAGTCACAAATTTTTGCAAAAAGCAATGGGCTATATGAAATTGAAATCTCTCTGTCAAAAATATGATCAACTATTTTGTTATCATTATAAGTTCGTGCGAAAAAAGTTAAAAGATAATGTTGCTTGCGTTAATTTCCTTTAATAAAATATGACGTCATACTTGTATGCCATAGCAATAATGTCATTCTGGAAGCCTATGTACGGCCTGGAAAAAGCAGAGAAGATCCAACACTTTGCAAAGTGAATGGAATCTACAACATGAGTTATACGTTCACGATCATGATTCAGTTTATATGTTGTATTTCTGTAAATGTAATGTATATCTGCTTGGTTGTATTGCCGAGGCATTTGTTTCGAGCCAAACATATTCTTTCATTTGAACGGTCAAGATAAATTCCAGGTAAGTGAATCTTTTTGTTTGTGTGAATATGAACATGGCATGCTTTTGATTTATAAATACTAATTTAGGTGAATATTAACTAATATTTCACATGATGAGGACTGATTTAGAGTATATTTTAAGAATAGGAGAAGGGGTCTGGATTTTTCAACAAACAATATATAATATATAGATATCTAATTCTGTGTAAAAGTTCTTTTTTCTTCTTCACAGGGAATGCTACCCACTCGCAGCAAGAGCCTCGACTCCTGGACGAATGCAAACCAAACCTTTGAGGCGACAACGGGGAAACAATCTAGAGACATTAAGGAATGAAGACGGAGATGAAGAAAATGATGAAGGACACGTCTATCCACTTTGGATGCCTAGTTTAGATAGTGTTCAAGCGTCTTGTGAAACATGTGGAGCCGATAGAGAACTCTGTCAATGTTATGGAACAAAACACCAACAAAAGAAACTTAGCAAAAGACGCGTTTCCTACCATGAACCATCTTGGAGATATAGGACAAGTAATGAAACAGAAGATATGGACTACAACATAGCTCCTACAACCCGCAGACATAGTACCGCACCATCAGATGCTCCCAACATAAAACATGTTCCATCTGACCTTATTGGTACTTATCATATAAATTCGGCATATCGCAGCTCTGACTCAGTGCTATCTGAAACGAACCTCTCTTTGGGTAGGAAATCTCCTTCAAATTTTTCTTCTAACGAATCTCAAGGTGGTTCTGGATACGGACCATCGAGAGCAACAGTATCAGGCAATTACTCTCGAACTTCAAGTACAGATATTTGGAGTGACCAGAACAATGCCAGGTCCCCCTTCGATGGTAATGAGCGATTATCACCAGGAAGTGTTGAAACAAAATCATATAGTGGTTCCGATGATGGTCCATCTACACAGTTGAACAACGGATCGTTCGATAGGCGTAGTACTGCGAGTTTATCTGGAACAGATGAGTCGGGTATAACTCATTCACGTCTCTCTTCTGAAACACAAAGTATGGATATTGGGTCCTACAATACACACACCTCAGATGAAGGTAGACTGACCAGTGCGTCTTGCGAAAGCAGGGATGATAAAATGTCAATTGGTACTCGAGAATCTGGAAGTATATCTTCTGTCACGCGAGAAACGGTGTCATCGAGACCAACAAATTCCGAAAACTCTTCAATTGGAACGGACGGATCCTATATTTTAACACAAGGGACTTACAGCTCAAAATCCTTCTCTTCGTCATCCTCTTCGATCGCTCTTCCCGAGTCAGAATCATCTGTGTCTCCCAGTGAGTTAAAGTGGGGGAATCAAGAGGGACTGGAAAGACCCGATGAACCTCTACCGCCTATTATTGATGCCCAACAAATCAAAGAGAAAAATAAGCCAGATGGAGTCTTTGATAGAGCTGGCAGTGTGGATGATGATTTAATATCGAAACCATTGGCTAAGGATGGACGTGATTTTTTATTGGAGCGAAGGGCATCCTCTTTGCTTCCATCATATATCCCCGTGATGGAAGGAATTCCAGAGGTATGTGGAACAGACAGTGTTTCCACCAATGTTTCAAGGACTTCATTGAATGACGGCTGTGACCGGAATCCTATGGAGGTAATCTCCGAGATCAATAGAAATGATCACCTAGCCACCACTTCCAATGATATGAGCGACAGGGAATCTAATATTACTTTCGATACCAAATTTTAGAGACGTAAAACGTTTACAATCCGGTTGATTGTTTGGTTTACTCTGATTTTCTCTCAACATGTTTCATTTCGTGTTCCGGTTATGCGCCATTGTATTTTTTTTATCAGGCAGTTTGCTCCCTTATATCTGGTGCCGGATTCTGTTATTCCACTTTATCTATCACCACTCAACCAATAATTATGTATGTCTTATTACTTTATAGTCAGAATACACTATCTATATGTCTAGAATATTTACCGTTTGCACTCTTAAATCATGTTTGAGTTGCCTTCCTTTGGTATAATTTTTTTTCATTTCCCTTTGTTCTGTTAATAAATATAGGGACTTGTTCCTTGTTATAAATGTTTTTTTATTAAGTCTTGCTGCAACATTTACCAGTGATGCTGTTTATCTGTGGGGGTAGGGATAAAGGAGTTTCACATTCGTTTTAGATTTCCTTAGCTACCACTTTTGGTTTTAACATTGTAGGCCCGTATCATTCATGAGTAGTCCGAAAATGAAGACATAGCAGTATGATACAGTTTAATTCATTATTGTTCTTTTATGTATCTAAATCTAAATTCTATTAGATGGGTGCTAATCACTTGTTCTCCTATGATAATCCTGTTTTCCATCCAGATGATGTCTGTTTGTTGACTTTAACTACTGTCTGATATGTCCTATGTCTGTCTATGGGCTACGAATACTGTCTGTTATTTGTCCTCTCTGTGTATCGACTCTTAACTACTGTCCGTGATGTGGTCTGTCTCTTTATCGACTGTAACTTCGGTTGTGGCTTCTGCCAGGCTATCGAGTGTAATTAAATGAATGTTATGTATTCTGTCTGTCTATCAACTGCAACGACTGAATATTATGTGTTCTGTCTGCCTGTTGACTGTAACTGCTGTCCGGTATGTGTTCTGTCTGCCTGTTGACTGCAACTACTGTCCGGTATGCGTTCTGTCTGCCTGTTGACTGTAACTGCTGTCCGGTATGTGTTCTGTCTGCCTGTTGACTGTAACTACTGTCCGGTATGCGTTCTGTCTGCCTGTTGACTGTAACTACTGCCCGGTATGCGTTCTGTCTGCCTGTTGACTGTAACTACTTTCCGGTATGCGTTCTGTCTGCCTGTTGACTGTAACTACTGTCCGGTATGCGTTCTGTCTGCCTGTTGACTGTAACTACTGTCCGGTATGCGTTCTGTCTGCCTGTTGACTGTAACTGCTGTCCGGTATGTGTTTTGCCTGCCTGTTGACTATAACTACTGCCCGGTATGCGTTCTGTCTGCCTGTTGACTGTAACTGCTGTCCGGTATGTGTTTTGTCTGCCTGTTGACTGTAACTACTGTCTGGTATGCGTTCTGTCTGCCTGTTGACTGTAACTACTGTCTGCTTTGTCTTCTGTCTGTCTATCAACTGTAACTAAATGAATGTTATGTATTATGTTTGTCTATCGACTGTAACCATTGGGTGTTGTGTTTTCTGTCTGTTGACTGTGACTACTGTCTGCTAATGGTTCTGTCTGGTTATCGACTCTAACTAATGAATTATATGGGTTATGTCTGTCTATCGACTGTAACTAATGATTGTTTTGCTTTCTGTCTGTCTATGGACTGTAACTCATGAATGCTATGGGTTCTGTCCTGTCTATCAACTGTAACTAGTTAATGTTATGTGTTCTGTCTGTATGTTTACCAACTGTAACTAATGAATGTTGTGGTTCTGTCTGTCTGTCTATCGACTCTAACTAATAAACGTTGTAGTTCTGTCCGTGTGTCTACAGACTGTAACTACTGCCTGTTATGTATCCTGTCTATCATCTGGAACTTCTACATGTTGAGTGCTCTGTCTGCCTACCAACTGTAACTACTATATGTTGAGTGTTCTGTCTACCGACTGTAACTACAACATGTGTGTTCTGTCTGTCTACCGACTGTAACTACTACATGTGAGTGTTATGTCTGTCTACCGACTGAAACTACTACATGTTGAGTGTTCTGTCTACCGACTGTAACTACTACATGTTGAGTGTTCTGTCTACCGACTGTAACTACTACATGTTGAGTGTTCTGTCTGTCTACCGACTGTAACTACTACATGTTGAGTGTTCTGTCTGTCTATCAACTGTAACTACTACATGTTGAGTGTTCTGTCTGTCTATCAACTGTAACTACTACATGTTGAGTGTTCTGTCTGTCTACCGACTGTAACTACTACATGTTGAGTGTTCTGTCTGTCTACCGACTGTAACTACTACATGTTGAGTGTTCTGTCCATCTATTAACTGTAACTACTACATGTTTAGTGTTCTGTCTGTCTACCAACTGTAACTACTAAGTGTTGAGTGTTCTGTCCATCTATTAACTGTAACTACTACATGTTTAGTGTTCTGTCTGTCTACCGAGTGTAACTACTACATGTTGAGTGTTCTGTCCATCTATTAACTGTAACTACTACATGTTTAGTGTTCTGTCTGTCTACCAACTGTAACTACTACATATTGAGTGGTCTGTCTACCGACTGTACCTACTACATGTTGAGTGTTCTGTTTGTCTACCGACTGTAACTGCCGCACTATCTGTTTTAATCTGTTTTTCGATTGCATTTACATTTACATTATCCTAAGATACCTCCTAGAATTGTAAAAATGTAGGACCTTAATGTCAATAATTAGTCTTTAAATGTAATTTCACCAGAATTGTTCTTACTGTAAAATTATAATGGTAGGTGTCTTTTATACAATCTCATTGAGGAATGAGACATGCTAATTATTGTTCGTTACAACGGTTGTACCTGGTGCTAACAACTGACATTTCTCTACGGACACGAATTATTGTATTGACCACTTATAACCAACTCTCATTTTTTATGATATCATATCAGATTTTATGTATATGATTACGTAACAAGATTTATTTGCTATTATTATATTAATCAATACTATCACTAATTGTCAAGTTTAGTATAGCTAGGAAGTTTAATATAGTTCTCGAAATCCTATTTGATTACTTAGATGAAAATTTACAGGAACCTTGCCTGGGCAAACACGAACCAAAACGGATAATTAATCGCCCTCGCTTTCTTCAAGGTACCAAGAGAAACGAAACTGAAAGATGCCAAATGCACTGGTACTTCAAGTGTCCTCTCAAGTTTCAATAATGATTATTGATGAATAGGAGATTCTGGGGCTCTTTATCAAAACTGAGAACTATCTTCCCATGTTTCTAACATACTTCCTGACCCACCTCAAATATCTAATGAGTTTGACCAGATGAATGATTTTGACAGGGTCCTCATATTCTGAAACTGTGAATTCAGTATGGTTGAAAAGCATGCAAGTTATGAATACCGTTTAAAATAATGTAGGTAAATAACTCCTCTGGTTTTGTCTCGTAAAGATTTATATTTATGTTGAAATAATTCAATCTTGGTTAGAATTGTTGTCACGATAAAGTAATTACTATTATGATTGTTTTACCCTGGTCAAACCCAAAATGGGGGAGAGAGTCAAACCTGTTGATTGTGCTAATATTGATTAATGATAATTTTCTTCTTAAATCCTTGAAATGTTGGAATCAAATCTCTTGGTTTCTTAATCAGTATATATGATATTTGTTAAGGCAAATGCATTCACTTTTTTCTCTTTTTTTACACAATGATGATAATGATGTCGCCCTGCTTTGATTTCTTTGAAAATGTCCATGTCATGTTAGCACAACACTGTCGAACTCGGCTGTGGAAATTATATGACCTCCTGTTCAAATTATGATATATCAATAAACCACACAAACAACCATATTGGTCAGTATGACAGACTGATCATTGTTGTTTTAATTAATGACTACCGTTTTTATCGTCACACCTATTTTTTCTAAAAAGTGCTTAATGGATTTACTTCCCTACAAACAACGAGTCTTACTCGTTCCAGATTCACAGTGAACAGACTGTGATACAATATTAATTATTGTTTCTTCTCAAATAAAGATGGTCTGTTTGATTCGAGGAGGAAAAACATTCCAAATATATGTTGAAATATTGTTACTCTTTAAGGATTTGTCTTTTTGTATAAAACAATGCAGTTTGCAATATAGGCAAGCTTAGTAAATATTTCATATGCATATTTTTCATCTTTTGTGATAAAAAGGACAAATAGATAGAACAGCTATTTATGTTATGTTAGATATAATTTTTATATATCCTGAATGATAACATTGCATATTTCAATAGGAATTAAATATTGATTATTTTTCATTTATTATTCTTTGATAATGTGTCAGCTCTGTAGAAATAGAAGTTATTTATGTCTTTTGTGATAATGCATCTGCTTCGTGTGCATGCATGCTACTAATGTATCATGTTTGAAGTTGAAAAAATACACACCATATCGGTTCAAACAAGTACAAAGTTAGTTATAAAATCAACATTGATGATGCATGTCATATATATGGTTTTCAGTAATAAATAAACAAATCTAAAACATTAAAATTGTCTTAACATTTCTGTGATAACTCGTTCTGTTCAAACGGCCAAATACTTGCTTATCATGTTGAAATATTTTCATTTCTTTTTCTGCTTAATAGATTTTGTAATTAATTTAATAACATTTTTTGTGCTTCGATGGTCACGTTATTAGATGAATTATAATGATTATGCATTTCAAATTGCAAAAGAAAATTATATTTCTTTTCGCAAGACTGACAACTGTCACGGAGGAGTGTTCACTTGGCAGCTGTCTGCTGGTCTGTTTTCTAAAACAAAACATCAAGAAAATAGCGTCATAGCAACATGATCCAAACTCATATTCCATAAAACTAGGACAAAATATAAACTTAAGAAAGATTTACTCCTGAATAAGTACAAAGAGAAGAAGATCAGGTGTTCCAGAATAGTAAGCATCTTCTGCTTCATCGACGACACCCGCTATCTAACCTTGGTCAATCCAAGTATGTAATGTCAAGTTCTCAAATGAGAACAAGGTATGCAACAATGGAACCACAGTCAAACTAACGAGCATCAAAAGATCCCTCCTATCCATTTATTTTTCTTTCAAGATCTTTCGGGTTTATTTTGTTGTTTTTTCTGCATGGTTCGACCTGCCCACAACATGCAGGGTAATATGAGGAGGGACGCCTCTATTGAATTGTCTATATTGTATGGGTTATTGTACATGCCCTTTGTTTTTGTGTTGTTTCTAGACCTATACCATTGAACCCTTTAAAACTGCCAACCTTTTTGTTTTCACAACAACACGAGTGATAACTGGATTATCGTTTTTGACTAAGCTTCACAACGCCCTCTTCCTGTACAGTACAGTACTTTCATAATCACACTACATGAACCTTTTGCGGCACTTCTTAGTTTTCGCCTACAATAGCCTGGCAAACAGATGACAATTTTCAAGATTAAAAACAACGCTGGGAAAACACATGTTTTCACTTGTGCATGTACCCACAGTCGATATAAGCTGCAGAAAGATTTGGATTTTCATCTTTCTGGTACAAATAGATATAAAAAAAAGAGTAACCCATTTACAGCGTTAGAATTTTTCTTATAGATTTGTCTAACCTCAATGGTACAAATAGATTTGAATAGGTAGTGCCTCGTTTATCGCATTTCACTTTTCCTTTCTCTTTGACCGTTAAACATTATACGAAAAGGTTGGTACAAAATATATGAAAACCTGTAACGATGTGGGAAGTTGTAAACATACGCTTTGACCAGAAATGATTCCTAATTACATTGTGGGATCGCACAACGTTTCACTATTGTGATGTGCGCACGATTGGAAAATTGGATGAAATAAGCACTTGCTGTGCGGTCTCTTATGTCACAGCAATGAATTAAAATCTCATACCGTCAGACAGGAAATTTTAATTTTCATAACTTCTGTATTACTCTCATTTTCCCTTCATTTTTGTTTTGGTAAATAAAAAAATATATGCTCAAGTAAATCTCTAGTGTTGTGTTTGTTACATTGGCGACCCAGCAGGTACGGACCCGAACCTGTCTCGCATCGACACCACTACTTGCCACTTTTTGAGGTGTGAAACTATATACGGTAAGACAAATTGACCCCGGTCCAGTGATATTTCGAAAATTGTCCAATTAAAAATGACCGATCAATTTTAATCTTCATGTGGTCACAATTTAGTAATAATTTCACTAACTTTAGCCAACCATTTTTACAAAACCGCACAAAATGTGAGGCTTATAGTATACTACGCCAGCACTCTCAGAAATAGTGTTACCTCCACTTATGTAGCACATATTCCGTGCTATAAAATATCGCTGTGTTTGATCCTTATCAGGGTGTAATTTGTCATGCTGGGTAACCATCATGTCTAATTATTTCACATGATTTCGTATCACGGTTGTTTTCGGTCATTAATTAGTACAGAAACATACAAAAGCAACGAAATGATTTTTTCAGCTTTTAGAAACTTATTCGATATTTGAAAAAAATATGAGATTTGTTGAATTCTGGGATTAAACACATTCATAACTATCAGTATTCTGATACTTGTACCCACCAGTTTTAATTTACCTCATTTGCTCCCTAAGTGTCAACACTATAGGCTCTCAGAATCACTGACAAGCCGTAGAAGGACGAAACAGCCGTATGATATTTTATTATTCTCTCGTATATATCTCTTGTACAATCTATACGTCCATATGAGTTTTACAATACCATGACATAGTAATGTTGACCAAGGCGAGTGACAGAGGCTTATTCAGAGAGATATCTCGTGTACATTGCAACACAAAAAGATTTATCCTGCTACTGGCTCTACCATTGTCGGAATATACATGCTAAGCATATTTTTTTGCTATATTCGGCAGTGACGGAAGGAATTTACTTTCAGTTATATCCGTTGAAGTTTGCAATTATACTTCTGCGCGAAGCAATCGTTTTGCCGTACGTCTTCAGGCGGAATTCAGCGTTAAGGCAACGTCACCGTCAGATAAACAACGACTGAACAACAATAGTGTGTAAGTTTTGATGGTCTGATTTTTAAACGATGCTACCAAAAATAGAATACGCAGTGAATGTCTTAATATATAAGCCGCATTTTGGCTCGGAACTGAAAGATAAAAGTAGTTTGCCAGATACTCGCCACTTTTGTCTGTTTTCACTCTTACCAAAATACAGCTTATACTTAAAGACGCTGACAATGTGTTCTTTATTTATGAGAAATACACGAAACAGGCAGTTAAATTCTAAATTTGTATGTTAAAGTGTTCATCTCTTGTATTTATTTTGTATAATCTCCTTTATATCAATATGCTGATGAATTATGGATATGTTTGTAACAAAATCCGTCATGCGAACAATGGCGTCCCTACTGTACTTTTCATATGAGCATGTAGTGCTTAATCTGTCGATATTTCTTCCATTGAAAAAAAAAAAGATGTTGTTCATAAAAAGACTAACGAAGTGGGAAACATTGGCGCCATCTTTAATATTGTGCATAATCAAACTAGCATTTTATAGATCAAGGTTATTGATTTGTCACAAACAGAAAATATATTGAAGTTAGAAATCATAATTTTTATTTCCACTACAATATATGCTGACTGTCAACATTGGTAGTTATTCTAGAGCTGACTGGGTTCGAATCACTGATTTTGAAATGTTTCGAGGGCCTTAAAATGTTATTGTGTACACATGCCGCAATCTAACAAATGACAAATACTTGATGTGTTATGAACGTAAGAATTTAGTTTAAACAAAGATGTAAAATCTGGAACATGAAGTAGCTAACCTAAATCAGCATAAAGTATGATAATGCACCAAACAAGGAACACTTACTCAAAGTTAATGACTTTGGATATCAAAATGGAAGGCTCCAATTTCAATATATTGATGACGTTATTTTTCATATAAATACGAAACTTTAATTTCAACTCATCAAAATTGATCTGAAAGTTAATATAATTTATATCCCATGAGGCCTAATGACTGCTTATTATCGTATCACGATTAGATAAATATTCATATTGTGTTACAGGTAGTTACAGGTCGAATGTAACCATGGGTTACTATAACTGTAAGACATAAGATCCAGAACGATAGAGACGAGCAACAAAGCATGTCCGTTAACCGTTGAAGCAGATCTAGAGTTCGTAGTGAGTATAATGCAGTTTAAACCGTCAGCATACTGTTAAAGGATTGCTGAACATCTGCACAATGCCACACAAATGCATAGGTGTCTCAGCAAAACCATAGAAATTATCTGGCTAAAAAAACAACCGGAACGTTTCGTTATTTTCGTTAGATTAAAACATCAAAGGTGTTTTCGACGACTGCATGAGGCTCATATATGCTGTATGGACGACGTGAGATCTGGGAATACGTTATTATATATAGGTTAACATTATTACGTTTGGTACAGCTATGCCTTAAAGATCTGGACGTCGATATGAAGTTTTAACCCGTACATGCCACCAGGAAACAACTTTATGAGATCTTGGAGTTATCAGTGAGGTCAATACCAATCCCTGTTATCAGCTAAGCCTTAAATGTGATCTCGACGGATATATGAGATTTAAGCCCGTACATGCCACCAGGAAACATAACTTTATAAGACCTTGGAGTAATCATTGCGTTAGTTCCAGTCCCTGTCACCAACCTAGCGTTAAATTTGATATGGACATCTATACACCTCTTGCATGTCAACAGCATGACCTAGTAATATTGACTTAAATATCGTCTGTTAGAGGCTAACATCAATATCAGATTGACGTCTCAAATACTCACATAACAACAGTGGACTATTCCTGAGACGTGCATGAGGTTAGCATACAGTAATCAGTGTTACCACCATGAGATCAAAAGTGACCTCCACTTTTCTCGTATTATTGTTGATATCCCTTTTACAAGGTAAGTGAAATTGAGATTGATCATAATGAAAATAGTGGTATTAATGAAATATCAATTTAGTGTGCTTATCATTTCCAGAGAATAATGAAAAGCAAAACGAGAATATTGCATTACACTAACTTTCCGAGTGAAAGGCAAACCTCGGGTTTATTACTCCCGAAAGCCTTCTGATACAAACACAAGAACATACTCCCTAATCCCACAACACAAACAACACACATGATTTACAGGCACAGCAAAACTCGGAGAATACAAAAAAGCAAAATAAAAATGTATTATCATTTGTACAAAAATACGAAATCAAAACTCGTGTCGAGTTCAAAATTTAAAGAATTGCACCCTAATATTAAATAATAAATATCGACAATATATATGGTACAAAGAACTGAAAATTGAACTAAAATATTGATATACCGTTTCAACGTAGTGACGTTATAGCAATTTCTGTCTTTCAAAATGATTTGGAAATATCAATCGAGGGCAAATGTCCTGTACCAAATTTGATACATTTTTAAATATATACACACCATCTTATCTGTAATAGATCAACAAATCAATAGAATACATCATTGTGATTATCCCGTCAGGTCACGGTCTAATTACAGTTAATGATGTCTCATGTATGACATTTTACGAGACTAGTGAGAAAAAAAAATATGAATTCAGAATTGCTTTTGCTCGGATGAAAGTTTTAAAAAAGGACGACTTAATTTTGAATGCATTTAATGGAAATGGCCTCTATATAGATAAGCTACATACATCTGGGAATGTTTAATTACATGAAAACGTAAGCTTGGTAAATCATACGGATTTGTTATAAAGTTACTAGGTGTTCCTGACAATGCCTTAACGAAATGTCAGTATCAAATCAGCTCATATTGATATTTTATTTACACATTTATCAACTTAAACAAAACTGATATTGCTGAATATACGTCAATTATATTAATATTTATGTTTACGGCTGTTCTGAATTTAATATCACCGAGTTAATATGGTCGGGATGTTCTGAATTTAATAACACTGAGTCAATATGGTCGGGCTGTTCTGAATTTAATAACACAGAGTCAATATGGTCGGGATGTTCTGAATTTAATAACACCGAGTCAATATGGTCGGGCTCTTCTGAATTTAATAACACAGAGTCAATATGGTCGAGCTGTTCTGAATTTGATAACACTGAATCAATATGGTCGGGTTGTTCTGAATTTAATAACACTGAATCAATATGGTCGGGCTGTTCTGAATTTAATAACACTGAGTCAATATGGTGTGGCTGTTCTGAATTTAATATCACCGAGTCATTATGGTCGGGCTGTTCTGAATTTAATAACACTGAGTCAATATGGTAGGGCTGTTCTGAATTTAATAACACTGAGTCAATATGGTCAGGCTGTTCTGAATTTAATATCACCGAGTCAATATGGTCGGGCTGTTCTGAATTTAATAACACTGAATCAATATGGTCGGGCTGTTCTGAATTTAATAACACTGAATCAATATGGTCGGGCTGTTCTGAATTTAATAACACTGAATCAATATGGTCGGGCTGTTCTGAATTTAATAACACTGAATCAATATGGTCGGGCTGTTCTGAATTTAATAACACTGAGTCAATATGGTCGGGCTGTTCTGAATTTAATAACATTGAGTCAATAGGGTCGGGCTGTTCTGAATTTAATAACACTGAGTCAATATGGTCGGGCTGTTCTGAATTTAATAACACTGAATCAATATGGTCGGGTTGTTCTGAATTTAATAACACTGAGTCAATATGGCCGGGCTCTTCTGAATTTAGAAACGTTGAGTTCATATATTATATAGCGATCTACATTGCCCTATCCATGCATATGTATGTGCGTGTATAAGATGTTTATAAATAGTATTATTCCAGATGCCTGTCAGTGAAAGCTATGTGGACGTCAACCCTAAAATCCGTCAATTTTTCTCTATTTTCGTTATTGAATAAAGAAAAAAGTCAAGTCAAAGTAAATCTTCTTATCCGTATCATATGATGATGGCGAGAATGAAATTGCTTCATTTTTCAAATCTACATTACCAAATCCAGGTGTGGTAAGTTTATTTGTTAAACATCGATGTCTTTTGTGGAAAGAAAGGTATTGGGAAACCTTTTCATATGGAACGAACATCAACATGTTAGTAACATATGTTGATTGAAAGGAAAAGTTACTATCTAGAAAGGGAAAAGTCACAATAGAGAAATAGAAAGTCGATGAAATAGAAGACCTTTCCATGAAACCAAGTCTTATCATCAATTTAATTGTCCAAGTGTCCTCTTGCTTTGTCATCCTTTCACTGGCTTTATGAAATCGTCGGTATTGTCCTGCTTTCTTATATTATGAGGTTTGTTTTGTTAACGAAATTTACTGAGCATATAAGCAGTAGCATGGAAAACGCGATGGTTTACAATATTTGACACGTTGTTACTCATAAATCTTCCTTGTATGTAGGCACAGTTCTCACAGGTTGTTCAAAATGATAACCCAAAGTATAAGTACCTTTCAATATTAATTTGAAATTAAATAGAATAGCAAAAGAATATAAAGATATTCGAGAGTATTATGTTGTGTATAGACTGCAATGTACAGCCATGTTTTACTTTTTTGGTTAAGTTATAATATAAAGATATTGTTTATGTTGTGTATTTGTACACCATGGCTGATCTTGTTGTTACCATGTCTACCATGTCGTACGCCATTTTATAAAAATACATTACTTGGTATATTTTTTATTTTGTTGTGCTTGATGTATAATAAAACATAGCTGAAGTCGTGACTCAGTTATCGGGATGGAAAATCATAACATATTTTTTCATTTACTTGCAATTTTCTGTTTGCAATAGGTGTTCCGGACCATGCTGGTACAGAATTCATTGTCGGATTCATGTCTATAGTAGGTAGCGATCAGGGCGCTTCACTGATCATAAGTACCTCGATTCCAACTGAGGTTAAAGTTCTTCTGAGTACTGCGGATGGCAGTTATAGAGTAAATCTTAATGTTTCTTGCAATCGTGGCCAAAAAGTTTATCTACCGGCCAGTATTCGGCTGCAAGACGGGATACCAAAAGACTCAAAAGGTATTATCATTGAATCTAGCGGTGACATTGTGGTGACAGGGTCAAATGCAGCAAGCAGTTCATATGATTCATTTATGGCATTGCCCACCAATGTCATCGGTTCTGATTACTTTGCTGTAACGTACTCACAGAATGGCCAAGTCTGCCAGGTGCTAGTGGTCGGTGTCAACGATTCCACTACTGTTAAAATCACCCTGAATCCATCCCTAAAAGACCATTTTGTCCTGTTTGAAAATAGACAATATTTAGCAGGACAAACATTTACCGTAGAACTAAATCGGTATGAAACGTTTGAATTTGAAAGTATTGGAGACCTTTCTGGAACGCGAATAAGATCAAACAACATTATTGCCGTATTCAGCGGGAACAAAGACACTTACATTGGAAGCAGAACGTATCTCACTACTAACCTTGTAGAACAACTAACACCGGTGGACACCTGGGGAAATGTTTTTATATTAGTACCAGTTCCTTATGCATACGCAAGCGTTTTATTTTGGCTCTTGGCAAGTGAGAATTCTACCACAATCAACCTATCGGGTGACTTTACACCCACAACTTACACTATCCATGAAGGGGAGACAATCCAAATAGAATGTCCGCATCGAAATCTAGGTTACTTGGTTTCTAACAAACCTATTTTGGTTATTGAATTCTCTCAGGGCTACAGTAGCCTGCTATCGAGTAACAATCCAACCATGATTCTTATTCCACCAGTGGAACAGTTCCACACAACTTACACATTCAGAACTGTTGGATTTGTGAACTATTTCGTATTTGTTGTACAGAAAGACCATTTTGAAGGCCTGCTCTATGACGGAAAAGTTTTCCCTTCGTCTTCATTATTGCTTACCTCTGTGACTGGCACAAATTTTGCCACTAGCTTCATCTCCGTGTCAGACGGGTCCCACACTGTACGACATAGCTTGCCTCATGTTACATTCGGTGGATTTCTGTACGGCTACGTTTCTTCCGTAAGCACATTTGGAATTCCTTTGGGGATGCGGATGGTCGCTATCAACTTTGTAAGTACACTATCATGGTGATCGATCATAACTACAATGAAATAATGAATTAATAATAAGCTTAAAAATAAAAAAAAAAAAAATTAAAAAAAAAAAAAAAAAATACAAAATATTCACGTTAGTGAAAAGAATAAAGTTCCCCTTAAAGAGCCACATAGCACCTATACCACTGTAAAAAAACTGACATCACAACTACAACAGCAGTTATCATTTTAAGGTAATATTTTCAAACAAATGTCTCTATGTCCTTGGTAATGTTTAACACACGTCTAACGCAACCGACAATATTCAATGGCTTCGTGGAACTAATGATTTCCGGTTCTTCGTGTAGTTTCTATTTATCAAACACATAATGTATCCTTTGTTTATAAAAGCCCTGCAGGAAGTCACAGTCTGAGGTTGGAGACGGGAAAGACAACGACTGTGACGGGAGGATAGACGAAGAGCCATGTATAGGAAATGGAGACAAGGGTAAGCGAGCATAAACCCTTACATATGTAAACATATGATATGTTGAATGACGATACTTGTCATACATTTAATTCCCATTTAAAAGTGCAGTGTACAGCAAATCTTACTTAATAAGTGATGATCGACTTCTTGAAATGACGGTTTGATTAGCTTACATATTTGAAATAGTCACCATCTTGCATAATTTTAAAGAAGTTGTACACCGTTGTTAATGAACTCGCCAGCATTATTGCATTGCGTATACAGTAATTCATACATACAATCAGACTGTTATCCAAGATCAGGCGTCAATGAGACATACATATTTTGTTGCAATTTGAGGGTTAAGGTTAAAGGTTACCTGGAATTTACTGGGACCCTTCCAAATACTCCTTTCTGGTGTTGTAGACATTTCCGAAATTTGACATACATATAAGAAACATCGACTTTAATCATTTGAAGTATCTTCAACAACATGTTGTTGGTATGGGCGTGCCCAATCAATATCATTATTTATTAACAGTTATATTTGAAGGTCAAGTGCTTTGTTTTAGTTAATGGTAAATCGCCTTTGTTTGTATGTTGTATTCCTAGTTTTTTAGACAACACATAAAACTTCGATAACACAGTTTTGCGAATGTACAAGAATTCAAGTGAAGAACTGTAAAGTATTGCAGTCATTGGTTTTGTTAAATTAAAACGAAAATAAATTATATCATTTTCATGCTTACCACCAATCACACGTGTATATATAGATAGTATAAAGCCATTTACGTCAACGGAAATTTGACTCAGACGAAGTTAGCAATGTTTGACACTATAGAGTTTTACTTAGCACAAAACATGTTCGCTTTCTGAAAATATGTTTGAAAAATTGTGACAAAAACAGACAAGTGAATAGAATTTGTTTTGAAACAAATTGAGCATTAGATACAGTAGAGTCAAACAATTAATTGAACTGCATCATACAGCTGTTTCGTCCTTTATGACTGCTAAGGGTCTAAATTGTAAAACTTAAGAAAAATCCAAAGTGATTGATAGAAATACGTCAAAATCTGGATCTGGATTGGGGACAGTCTTGCCGAATATTGCAATAAATTTTGTATTTTTTATTTATTTGATAATTTCAAAATATATGTGTCTGAATTAAGATTAATTTGTTTTGTCACCAGATTAACAATCACCATGGGTGATAATATTTGTGTCAGTTGTGAATTGAAGTATATCTAACTAAATTATTTCATTTCTTTTAATTTTTGCGAAATGATTAAAATAGTATCTGCTTGACATGTAATGAACGCCAGGTACTATATTTTTGATGTTATTTATATTTTGTGACAGATGAGGACGGAGATGGCCTTTTCAATGAGGACTGTGTAGCTATCCCTGAAGGTAAGTGCTTTCAGCTTATTTAAGAAATTGTTCATTATCGCTTAGCTTTGAACTCAGAACAATAGAGAAATGAATTAATGTATGATATCGATATAGATTGAACATAACCTCGATGTCTTTCTTAGAAATGTAATTAAGTTCCATAATCATGAATGCTTTATCCAGTAAAACGTCATTCTGAACTTTACATTAAGTGTAAAGTATTCCGCTCAACAACATTAAACTTTAAACTTTCACAGATATGCCGTTATACAATGATGTTTTTAAAAATGTCACTTCGACCTGATTTTGAGCCAATAAAAGTCGAATAACTTATATAGATATCCTAAATGTATGTATATAGGTACATTTAGATCATTGGTTTTATCAAAAATAAATAAATAAAATTTTTAAAAAACTTAATTATCGGCCTTGTCTTTGTGTTTTCGATTGCTCTTCTGTATTCAAATTCTAATCTAAATAACGACCATAACGAAGACAACAAACAATAAAAAAAGCCGAAGAGGGTGACGCTTTTTTCTCATCAATATAAATGGCAATAATGGACATGAGGATACGAACTATGTGTGTTTTCTATATTAGTGCCGTTTTGTTATCGGAATCTAAATAAGAGTTGTGATTCATCTCAGAGGAGGTTTACAGTTTCTTATAATTTGGTCATAAAAATACAATCTATTTTTTCACTTAAAAAATATCAGTATCTCCAGGCATTGAAGGAACGCAAAATGAAATAAATATGTGATATAAATCGGATGTCACGCTTTATAATTTATCAACTGACGCTCAAAACGATAACAAATGTAGCCGTTTTCTTTCACTTGCTCTGTTTCTAAACAATTCAATCCTTGCGTAACCAATCAATGAGATCACGTTGCTCAGATGAGTGATTAAGTACGGAGTTATGTAAAAGCTGATGTGAAGAACCTTTTTTCATATAGTTGATGGAGGATGGAGCACATGGGCAGTTTCAAAATGTTCGCTGACGTGCTCTGACGGGACCAATACAGGAATTCAAAGTAAGCAGCGAAGTTGTACAAATCCAATTCCGAGGTGTGATGGAGAAAGATGTGAAGGAAATTCCTTCGAAACATCTGAATGTCTGTCGGAGATCCCGTGTCCAAGTGAGTACATTATGTATGTTAATGTGCCTTCTGTTCGAAAAAGAATAAATAAAAACATGTTGGTTTCATTAATAGAATAAGTGTTATTTTTTTATAATGCGATAATTTATCTTATATGTCCTATACTCTTTTAAACTATTTTTCCGAATGGGGACGTTATGTTGCAATATTTTGCAAGAGTTTATTTTAGAATGATATATGTGTATTTTTACTATAATACAATCCCACGTAAAAAGAAGGATTTCCACAAGAAATGATTAATGAACATGAAAACAATATCACATGATAGGCATATGACTTGACATTCTTCATTGGACAAATTTAAGAGAACTAGTCAATTGCTTCAATGTCTTGTTTCATATTCGCCAGCTTAATTTCTATCATTGTGTATACTTTGTCTATCCTCAAGTAAAATCACCAGAACAATGCGTTTTTGGATAATCATTTTTATAGATACAATATATATACAATGAATAACTATATGTAATCTACTTTCAAAGATGAAATTGACATATTGCTATTTTTTCTGAAATTATCAGATACATAATTTATTGCGTGTTCTCGTCTATATTTTGAAGTGTTTCTATCGATCACTTTGGATTTTTCATGGTTTTGCAATTTGAAGGATGAAACAACTGTTTGTTGCAATTTAATCAATTGTTTGTCTCAACTCTATCTATTAAATTTGTATCAAATGGGTTCTTATCACTTGCTTATCTTTTGTACAATTTTCAAATATATTTTGAAATGTTATTTGCTAAAAGTCGGAAATCGGAAGCAGCGGATAACTGGAATTTCTCTTTTCTTAAATCTTGCCTTATAAATAGGAACATAAAACTGATTATGACAGTGATGTAATACATACATATCCGTTATCATACCTAGAAATCTTCGGCTGAGTTAAATTTCCTCTGATGTGAATGGAGTTATATTATTTGTACATACATTTGTGCTTGTTGGTTAGCATGGAAACGATGTTAGATACTTTTTTTATGGGGGTGGGGGGAGTTCAATATAACTTTCGATTACAACTTTTAACGGATGTTATCGCAGTGGCTTTACGTACTGTTAATAATGGTAATGATAGCCTATACCAAAGGCATTTTGTTGACGGAGTATATAAAATTATTACAGCCGATGTTTCATATATATATGTCAAGAAAACTAGTAATTCCTGGGGTCTCGGTGACTTTTACTTGACCTTTGACCTTAACCTCTTCACTTAAAATACACCAACACATTTCCGCCTCAAATTTTAACTTCCGGTTCATTGATGGATTTCGAACTTAAGAAATAGATAGAGGATGAGAATGTGATGTATCGTGTACTCTGGGGCTTTTATGATTTAGATATCGTGCTACTTTATGTCTCAAAATGAAATAAAATCGATATTTTTAATAGAAGCTGCCATCTGCATTTAACACTACTTATAATTATTTCGTTTTTTTTCCGAGTCAATGGTGATTGGACAGAATGGTCATCGTGGACGTCATGCTCGGTGACATGTTCTTGGACTCAATTGCTAGTGACGGGAAAGAAACAACGAACCCGTGAATGTACAAATCCAGTCCCTCAATTTGACGGCAGTCCATGTGTAGGATCTGGTATATCTGTATCAGTTTGTAGCAGTACACAGAAGTGTCCCGGTAAGTAGATAGGTTCATACTATGTTGATGGTCGGATAAATTTGAATCAGCAGCGAGACAAGTTTCCCGGGTAAGTAGATATGCTTACACCATGTTGAGGGTCGGGTACATTTGAATCAGCAGCGGGACAACAAGGTACCCAGGTAGGTAGACATATGCACACCATGTTGAGGTTCAGATGCATCTATATCTACAGCGATACAACAAGTTGCCCTGTTAAGTAGATTTGCATGTTAACGTTTTGTGACGTATCGATGTCTCATACAAACATTTAATGCAATACATTATATCGCAGAACAAATATTGAATGGTGAAGTGTTTCTGTCTTAACTCTGATTATTCGAAATGCCATTATTAGATATTAGCTAGGTATGGGAGACTTTAGAAGCAATGAAAACTATATAATGTGAAGGTTTGAAGGTATTATCTTTCAGCGAATACCATTTACCCAATCCTCATGACTCTTTTATTCTATAGTTTGACGAAATATCTAACCATGCATATGCTTTTAAAACATTAATAAAAAGACTATCTGGTCTTTGGTATCATGCCTACAGCTTGATCACAATATACAAGGGAAAGCCGGGGAAATCGCTGCATCTACCTATTTTATAAACTTTATGAATTTGATTTAATTATTTTATATCTCATTGCGGTACCGATGGAAACTCTAGTTACTTACAAGAAAAACGTTAATATTATGTCTTGACTTTTTCAGCAGTTTTCGCTAGTTTCCAGCTAGTTCATGAAACCATTTTCCTTTAAAATATTTGAGAAATACATTAGTAAGAGGGTTATCAAAATCCGGTCATTTCTGCAGGGTAAGATAAGGCTACTTGTTTACACCTAGTTCTCTTCGACGTATATTTTCTGGGCAGCTGGTACTTCAACACAGTTGCTGGGTCACACTTGATACATGTGGCACCAGAACTTCCTGGGCCATCACACCAAATCTCCTTACACATATAACATTAAAATCAAGGACTGATTTTCTGATAGATAACGTAATGGTTCGAAAAGCTATTTAACTAAAAAAGGACTGTAGACGATACGACAAATGATTTTTATATTTGTGATTGAAAACGATGTGTTTACCTCCCAAATTTATACAATTCTCATTCTTTTCGTCCACTGCTGCAGTACCAGACGATGAAGTAACCAATGCTGCAATGCATACTGCTGATGTGTTCACGAATACGGCACACACTGATGATGTTTCCTCTTCTACAATGCTTACCGATGACGTATCCAGTCTAACCGTAGTAACTAGTGCCTTGTCCACAACTACAACACTCATGGCTGACAAATCTACTACACTCACTAGTGCCTTGTCCACAACTACAGCACTCATGGCTGATACATCTACTACAACATCACTCACTAGAGACATTTCTACAACTACAACACTCAAGGCTGATAAATCTACCACAACAACACTCACTAGTGCCTTGTCAACAACTACATCACTCATGGCTGATAAATCTACTACATCAACACTCACTAGAGACATTTCGACAACTACAACACTCAAGGCTGACAAATCTACTACAACAACACTCATTAGTGCCTTGTCCACAACTACAACACTCATGGCTGATACATCTACTACAACAACACTCACTAGTGCCTTGTCCACAACTACAACACCCATGGCTGATACATCTACTACAACAGTACTCAATGGTGGTATTTCACCAACAACAATACTCATGGCTGACAAATCTACTACAACAGCACTCATTGGTGATATATCCACAACTACAACACTCACGGCTGACAAATCTACTACAACAACACCGACTGGTGATATTTCAACAACTACAACACTCATGGCTGACAAATCTACTACAACAGCACTCATTGGTGATATTTCCACAACTACAGCGGTAATTGATGACGTGACCACCACCACCACGGAATTCTTTGATGACACATCAACTGCCGGAGTGCTTGATGTATCTATCACTCATGGGGATCTCTCTACTTCCTCTATCATTCCGTTGACAACCTCCTACCCGGTGCCCTACACAATGACAACAACGATAAATCCTATCGAATCAGGGTCCCTAAGTACAACAACGGATTCGGAAACGACTCATTGGAGTACTGTTGATATACAAACCACAATACCAGTTGATGCTTATTCTATTACCGAGTCAATTGCTCAAGTCTCCGATAACCCTGTCTCAACCCCCGCTACATCTTTGATCTGTAACTGCAATACGTATACTTGTTTCAACCCTGACGTAGATGAATTGTATCAAATTATAAAACAACTAAAGGCTGAGCTACGGATCTTCCGAAATCAGACAAGTCGTTACAAACGAAGCCTTGTTTCGGCAGACGACAAGCGTCCTTCAGCACAGGCAGCCGGGTACATCGGAACTCTAATTCTGGCTGGTCTTGGAGTATTCCTGATAGCCATGGACAAAGGGAATCTACTAAATATGTTTACTATAATGAAAACGAATCTTCGCTCTCGATAGTTAAAACCCATGTATTACGCTCCTAATCCATATATGATCGCCAGAAAATGGTATTCCTTTCTCATATGGATTTTGCACTTTCTATTTTTCCTCAGTCTGTAAAAATTTCGATTCAAAGAGCGAAATTGGTTGATCAAGTAGAACCCTAATATTTCATTCCTCCTTTGAAAAAAGGAATCGCTTTCTTCAAATAACTGACCTAAAAAGACAAGAAGGTGAACAACGGTACACTTATCTGGTTGCGAACTATTCAGGAGCGTGTTTCTTGAAGTGTTAGTGTAAGGCATCTAAAATTCGGGGAACTATGGATGAAATTGTGAAAATAACCGAATATCTTGAGGATTTGTGTTTGTTTGGTTTATAAGTCAGCTAGCGTCTTTTTGTAGTAGCTGGTGGCTACCTCAATGCACGATAGACCTGATTCATGTCCACAGCAAGTAGAGTGAAGTCTTGCTTAAAGACATAACCACACGAGCACAGACAAGTCCACTTCTCAGCTTTCTGTCTTTGACGAATTCGAACTATTCATTTCTGTTGATATTTATGGCATATCAAATTGTTGTATTGTTTTTTTCAATGTGTTTCATTTCTTTTGTACATTTAACCAATTTTACAATTTAATTCTATGGTGGTAAATGTTATCGTATGTCATAATTATTTTCAATGCATTTTATATTTGGTATCTTCATCGAGTATGGTGATAAGACATTCCAACTGACAATTAAAGTATCCATGGTAAGACACAAATTGATGTCTCGATTTCCCTATTGTGAATTGTCTATTTCTAGATATAAATTTAGCAACATTCCTGCTTCCACATCCTTTGATATTTAATGACGCCGATGGTCCGATATTCGAGCGTGTGTCGATTTGTTTTGTTCACAATGACGACAACGGACCGATAAACTTGTGATTATGAGAGATAATGGTAATAAGGATCATTGGGAAGTTTTATTGTTAATTTTTATCATTGAAAAAGTATTCTGTTGCATGCATGGTCGATGCTTGTTAGGATGTCTAATGGTTAGCTGTTATTTACCTAGTTCTTCATTAATGACATGACTTGAATGGGCTGATGATAATATTGTCGTCGATAAAACAGATAATTATTTGCCCATCGGAACACCTTGCCTTATTCTCTTAATCCACATTTACAGAAGGATCGGTGTAATTTTTTTACTTATTTAATTGCTTTTCATTTTGACTTTTGATTTTGATTAACTGTCAGTGTTTTTATGTTTTTGTTTGTATTCACACGTTTTATGGTTGATTGATTTTTACAATGTCTGGGCTATTGATCGACGGTAATTTGATTTATCAATGTCTATACATGTGTCTTAACATTATCATAACAGGAAATAGACAAACTCACACGTCTTGCACTATTTTGTTTAATCATGAAAGAAAGAAAAATGCAAATACAAACATTGTGAATAACAATGAGCAATCAAAGGGTTTTACCCACTTTTAGAAGACGATGATAAAACGATGAAGTGATCCGAAAGTGTGCTTGATGAAAATGACTAACCTGTATAGGTATCCAGGAGACAATTTGAATTATATAGGAAAACCTGTATTTGGAAAGTCATTTTAAATCCAACTTTTTCAAAATAATCCTTCCCATTCTTTACCTGGCATGGTTTCAGGTCTATCATTTTCTCCTTAACAATAAATTAAAAAAAAAATCCATCACTTTTGTTTACATCCAATATTACCATGGCTTACGCAGTTGTGTCATATCATGCTTTATTTATATTCATTTGTACTAAATGGAGAACTTATTAAGGCTATACATGTTGTTTCATGCTTTTTCTTGATATTATTATTAAGTAAAACGAACGAAAAGGACTTCGTCAAGAAAGTGTCTCAGAATGATTGACTTAAATGTGTACCTGATACAGAACGAAGCTAATGAAACATTTCAGTCTCAGCGTATCAAAGTCAATAAAGCATTGTAACATTTAAAAGTGCTGGAAAGAAATCCGGTGACGAAAATAAGACTGCTCAGTTCTAGACCATGAAAGGCCAAAAGGTTCAACAAAGCAGCTCATTATAATTCATTTGTTTAAACGTCAAGAAGACATTGATCAACAGCAGCAAATTGTGAAAACGGATTTATTTTTTAAATCAGGAAAGATATCTCTCAAAGTGAGAATGTATCACGTATAGAAAATCAGTGTTAAATCTTTGTTAATTGTGTAGTTAAAAAACATTGTAAAGATTCGTGCAGACAGTACGGTTATAAGGACAACTGCATTCACTTTCAATTTACTGTAACAACATATTGTTGCATTTTGTTTTTTATGTGAAGTAAATTTGTTACCATTTCAGCGTTTTCTCAACATTGTGAACTTCAAGTAATATATTTTGTGTAGTCTTTTGTTTACGTATTTGTCCTATCTCTCTGCCTTATGTTGTTTTTAATGTGAATTAGGTAAACTGTAAGGGGATTTAGTGAAAGCATATTACATATATTGATATCACTATATCTTTATTTAGTGATAACTTAGATTCAACTATTGCTTGAATAATACCTAAGGCAAATGTCTAAGACCGATTGCTAGATTTATCTAACCTTTAGGAAGAGCGGACATGTACAGGGTCAATGACAAATAAAAAAATTCCACATTTTTTTGCAAAATATTGTTACAATGCATCGTATTGTGGTATGTCCATCGCTTGTCGAATTACATTGCCTGTAAAATCAGGGGAGATAACCGCAATACGATAAATGCTTTTGTGGTTCGAGTAAAGATATTCATTGCCATGAAAAACGTAAACAAAAAGTTGTTTGCTTCTTATGATTATTGTTTTGTCGTTAGTTATCTAAATATATTCTTTTCTATGAAATGATTTAACTTTGATTGTGATCATTTCGATCTTTTTTCATTGTGAACCGTATTCAAGATTTTTTAAATCTTTCCCAAACATGAATATTTAAGTGATTATCTATTAATGATATCTAAGACTTTGTACATGTCCCCCTCCTCCTCCACACACACATATACACACAGATAGATGTATATAAGTTTATTTGATATATTTCAAGAAGCTTCACTTTGAACTCATAATGTTCTTCATGCAAAACTCTTTAAGTCTTAAATAAGAACAATGTATACCCAATTCTTTTTAAAATATAAAAAGTAGAAGTTATGTGATTTGATGTTGAATTTCTGCAAACGATTACCTAAGTAACAACACCTTGTTATTTCTCGGTGAAAATATTTTTTCATCAAAATCTTTTCAATAGATTATGGGTTGGAATCACTGTTATATCTATGGATGGGACTTTCCGACATCAAAACTGAATAATTCCTCGAAAAAGTATTATTTATATGTGTGTCCGATAGACATGATATATTCATCACGTTTATTAAACACACTACTTGCCCATTGCTTTTATAACAAATATTGGCACATGATTTATTGATATTTTTGTAATATATGCTTTTATTTGATAAATAAAGTTATTTTCTCCATATATTCTCAATTTTATTTGTGATATTTAAGGATATTTATGACATTACCCTTCGACAATAAGCAATTCACCTCCAAACAACTAGCGAACTAATTCTTTTGAAGTGAACTTATGATTTTGAAATGTCAAAATTTGATACAGTGTTGATAACTTGTAATGATACCTAATTGTGAAGTAGGTAGGCTTTGCTGGTGTTATTGTCATGCAAAATTGATTGAAGCTTGAATTATTTTGCTCAAAGTTCATGATTATAAGATTGAGACTTTACGCTGACTAATATGCTTATGTTAAACGGTATGATGGATTTTTCCGTGGCCGTGAAGATAATCTTTAGAACCATTACAGGAAATCTGCAATACTCGCTCGACTGGGCATCTTAAACTCAACATAGCCTGCTGCATGTATGTGAAGAAAGAAAAAAAAAATGGATAATTGGTTATAGAAATCTATTATCTATTATTATTCCCACCTCCAGTTTTTATAATAATTGTCACTGGGAAGGTATCAATTCTCCAATGTATTATCAAAAGGATTAACCATTAACCACCTGAAGACCAAGACCACGATTTACAACATCTGTCGACCAGACGTGCGTGTACTATCCATAATTCCAGCTCAGCTCATTTTGTCCAAAAAATTAATGTTTCGTAACTGTGATTATTACCGATTCAGAAGTAAATAGTTATGAGAATGCCATTCTTACTAGTGTAAATATGTAAAATATAAATCGTAGCTGGATTAAACATTAATGTATCAAGAAAACGTCAAAATGAAATAGATTAATCACATATTTTTTCAGAATGATATTATTAGTTTAAAGTTATAGATATGATTTAGACGTGATCGACATAGAAGTACTTTCAAAGTCATTTACAAACGTATAAAATGACGTTCTATATTGACAACCGTCAATAAGTCGAAGTTCAACATTTTGCATGATAGAAGTTGAAGGAATGACTTTCGCTCGGTAGTCATTGATTTTGATCAATGCAAGCTGTGCTTGTTCAATGCACGCTATGATTGAAATGTTTTTGAACCATCCTTTCAAGGTACACTCAAAAATGGTATTATATGTGTAGAATTGGCTGTATGATCTTGTTTTGCCTTCACACATGAGAAGTCTCACCACCATTGTATTAACAGATAAAAATCCAATTCAAACAGCTGAGAAAATCTAAGACATTTTTGTTTAAGAATACTGGTATCTGAAAAACAGTGATATCTGAAAGGATACAACAGAAACTCCGATTTAACCACTCAACACTTTTCAAAAACTAATCATTGCTAAGCCGCATAAAACAAACTCATCTTGATCTTGCTTTAACGGAACTAGAAAACGGCTGCATATGTACAACACCAAATGATTGTTTTTAATGTCGTCACTGTAATTTGTAAATACTTTTCTAACGTGTAAAGTTTTTCCTCTCATAACAAACATACACTTGGTTATACTTTTAGATTCATATACCCCTGTATTCAGTGCATAGTCTTTTTTGTCTTGTTCGAAGTCGATATTGCGTTCACTTAAACGTTAGTTTATGATAAACAATTATGTTAGGTAAGTTCATGTACTATAAAGCAAAACGATGAAGGCAGAAATCGCAAAACTTGTATATGATATAGTTACTCAAAATGGTGTTACACCACACGCTGTTTCCAGATATTTTGGATATCCTGAAGACCACGACCATGGTTTTCCCTAAGCCAATACCTTAAGACTAAGCATGCCTTCTCCTCAAGAGATCTCGGTTTCGTGTTTTCGATTTTTGCAAGTTTGTGTTGTGGCACTCCAAGGGATCGCCCAACTTGCTTCCAGTGTTTAGTAGGTATATTTTTCTTGTAAATGCCTAGCAGTGTTCCTCTCTCACGTTCTGTGAATATGAATCAGTATTTTCATTTACATATTTTAGTGACCATCTCCTATACAATCATTTCATCACAAATCAACAGAATGCAAATTTAAGAATACGTTGAGGAAATATTCTTTTATAAATTGGTTTATATGTAACCTTATTATGTACATGTGTGATAAGAATGATATCATATCAGATTACACATGAAATGTATTATATTATATATCTTACCAAGGTATCGATTGGTGATCTTTGCAGACGACTAGAAATAGAAAGGATATGATTAAAAGAAAGCGATTAAACACACTACAGTATTGTAGTCTTAGACCTAATTCTATGATTGTTACTGTCATAACCTATTTGTATTGATTAAAGAAAACGTAATCAGAACACGTAGTTCTGATATATATAATCATTGACAGCGAAATAATTCAGTGAAACGATTTTTAAAAGTGTGCATCTATCATATTTTTCTTTGACTGACCCATTAAGTTTAAATAATCCTACCGGATCGCTTAGAAGACAGACAGACTAACTCACCATTTCATTTAGGAGTTAGGTAGGAGTTAACCATATGACCATTATAACGGAAAATGTTTATAAATAAACATCATTATGAATAATTGAGAACTATACTAGGAATAAACGGAAATTTGAATCCGCGGCTTAACCTTAATAATGCATCATATTTCTTTCTTTTGACTCAAGGTATACTGGGATATCCAAACTTGAGACATGTAGTTTAATACACATTTTTTCAATGATAAGATAAAAGCAAAATAAAAAAATGAAAAAAATACATTCCATTGACAAATATTTTTGGTGATATGAAGCTTAGATAGGAAAAAAAGTATTTGAGATTTGAAAGTCTTATGATACTCACCACAATGTAATCCGACAGCCTGATGGTTACAGCCATTTTAACTCTAATCATAAATAAAGTAGAAATGTATCATACATCTATAATGATTGTTTCGATCAATTAATACTACGAGTATTCTAAATTTTAACCTTCATGTTAGAAACAGCGAACTGGTTGTTGGTTTGTTCTGAAACAATGCGAACGCCCAATAATCTCTCGAAAAATATACACTTGGCATTGTTAAATATTTGTTAGAGATAATCTCGTTTTGATTCAATCAAGTTTTTTTTTTTTTTTTGCTGAATACTGACCCGGCTTTTAGTGAGTCTAATTCCACGGTATTGTCTCTATCGTTATTCGGGGCCCATGTTGACTCTTGCCTCCATTCCAGATCTCCAGTTTTCGTCAGTAGTTGAATTTCCATGAAATGTTCTGTTACAATGGAGACTACATATAGCATGTAAATATATCAAACATTATTTTAGAACTGACCAAGAAAGACATTTTTTGACTTGTGTCCTGTCCGAGCCTCGAACACACGATGTACGGCACCAAATCGCTTAGCCTAGAAATTCCAAACTGCCTAACCTGTATAGTTATTATTTATTGTTCTAGCTTAACACAGCTCATCCAATGTGCAATCTCTAAAACTAATCGCACAATTGTAAGGCATTCCATTTATACGATGCTACAAAAGCATTTAAAAACGTCCTAAAATTATAGTATATTTTGAAATGTTTATATTTTTATTTATAAATTGTTTAAAATCATAGCAGCGGAGACTTCAAATGTGAATTGTTCTTCATTATCATACAGAGAGTCATACAAACATTGACGTTCAAAAATGACAATTTATCTCATTAAGTGTTTTCATACTGACCAGAGGACAGTTCGTCCGTTCTTTCCTTTCCGACATACTCAACGATGATTGGACCCTTTACGTCCCTGCTGGCCAGGACATGGAGTGTCGGGAAACGAACACCTTGCTCCATCTGACCACATACGCATATTACATTCAACATATGTCTATAAGTAAAATATTGTTATTCAACCAACAAAGAGAAAGAGACCCTGCATCCTTCATCCAAAATTGCTATGATTGTATGACGAAATGTCTATGTACATGAGTCTCTACTGATCTCCAACACAGGGAAAGTCGTAGGTACAGAAATCCTTGGATTTACAAGTAAATAGATCAGTTTTACTGCCAGGGTAAAGAGATCCAGTGAAATAGACAAACAGTTGAAATATTGCGATTAAGCGAAGACGTGTTATAAAAAATACCAATAAATCAACAAAGTCATAACCCAAATTCCTTAAAACTAAGACAAAATATGAACAAAAGTAAGGTTTAAGCAATGTCACGTTCTCAAATAAGAACAAGGTATAAAACAACGGAACCAACGGGCAAAATAACGAGCATCAAATAGTCCAGCTATTAAAAATAGAATATTTCTGAATATGATTACTATGGCGACCATAAAACTCATAACTTATAACAACCAACATCTTTTGAAACCCTGCTTTGCGAGTTTGTACTTCAGTTGACGACTTCTTGCACGAAAATCGTGATTATGGGTACAGGTCCTTGAATATCGAATCAAATGTGACATTTTAACACCATAGGCTTGGGATGCAGGAATATTGCTATCCAGAAAGAGAAAATTCGCAATAGAGTAAATTAAAATTTCCACATTTATCATACAGCTTGGTGAAAAGCTGTCAAAGAATTGCGACTACTGTATTCTACGTACCACTGTCTTAACAATTGTATCCTTTTGAACAGAATTCGGCGGAAAGCTCAGAAACATTTGCTGTTTTGATCCAGGTGTTATGGTCATCTTCTTCGTTGTGAGATTAAACTTCTTAACGTGCTCCTGATGTATCACAGACTGAACGCCACACCACAAGTCTGATGTTACGGCTAACACGTACTGCGGACACATTGGCAGTATAGCTGATAAGTACACCTGAGGAAGAACGACAACATAAAATAGAAAATAAAATCGACTTGTCAAGAAGATAATATTTAGGAAACAAAAGTAGTAAAACGATGGCAAAATGAAAATAAAAGAACTATCTATTAGATTATCATTATCATTAAGTGTTTTTTGGTTCATCTCCATGCAAATCTACGAGCTACAAGATATACATTTTGTTTTATCGTTTTAAGTTTATAAATGCATATTTATTTTTTGTTACCGCTTTACAGAAAAAAACTTTTCAAACAAAAATCACATGATTTGCGTCATCTCCAACATGTTGGGCGGTATGTTGCTCCCATCTTGTTGGTTCATGGGAACCAGTTATCAGGAATGCAGTCTGTGAGGAGAGCTGTGAGGTGGCTACTTTGACAAATACTTTACACTACAAAACAAAGCGTCAATTTAATCAGTTTATTAGAATTTCGTTTTATCTTCTATCATACATTTTTATATAAATGGTACACTTTCCCTTTAATAATCTTTAATGGTTGCATCAGAACATTCAAAAATTCAAAAATTGTCTCATCGATTTGAACACCAAAATACTTTCTCCGGCTTTCACCAATTTACTTTTCTCAATTTCTCTCCAATTTCACGTGACTGATAACAAATTTTCTATTTTGTTCTCATCTTACTTAAGCTATAGTCAACAACGACCTGTAAGTAGTGTATTTACTACGATGCTGTAGTAAGTTTTGTACGCAGTTTGTGCTCATTATTCCGAATGTATTTCTTGCCAATACTAGAACACAAATTTCCACCTTGATATATTTTGTACATAACTGCTCACCGAATCAGTCCTATAATTTGTGATATGGACGATATAGAGAGAACTGACGGGTTGAGTGCCATGCCCATACGGAATCAGGCCACGATTTATGGCCTCGGTTATCTGTAGACACTCCATGTCAATCCCACAGTCAACCTTCTCATGCAAGAACTCAAGGATGAATGCATTATCTCTGTCAGTACACTTCGTAGAAAATCTTAAACAAAAGTTATTTGTTCATGCACTCGTAAACAAGAAGACAAGTTGACAGTCAACATTTTTTCAATTCACGCGTCAGATCCATGTATTTGTTATGAATAATCAAACGTTTTTCATGTCCGTCAAATATACCTACTTATTACCAACTTATAATGACAAAACGTCTCAAAATTATTTCAAACATATTTTTCACCTTGAACTAAACGACTAAACTTTTTAATCAACATAACACAAGTATCATTCGTTAATAAAATATTTGTCTCGCGGAAAATGTATAAATATACATGCATTTGAAATTAAGGATGATATTGATTATCTGTGAAAATAGTTACAAATGAATATCATAATATATTGTATACAGATAATACAAATATAAAAATGATACAATTAATTATAAATCAATAGATCAATGATAGGATTGTGATTATCTCCTACCTGTATTGGACACCAAGAGTAGTCTCCCTTCGGATACTCCAAATAAAATTTGATCCTTTGAAATGTTGGGAAGGTAACAAAGTTTGCCTAAAGAAATCTTTTTCCAGCTTTGAATCTTGCACTGATCGTTCGATTAGTTTTGAAATGAAATGGCCAACGCTGGTTTCAACCTTTATGAAGAAAATAAGAATGAACACTTGAGGCACAATTTCACATTTTTGATGTTAGTAATGTTCGGAAAGTACATGTTAGTACAATCTAGGTAGCTTACGTCACCATATCGTTTAACCACCAAAGTTTCTAAGATGATAAACACATATTTAAATGTAAACTATTATAGCTTTATATTGTCACTATTCAGAAAAATGATTTGTAATTGTTATCAATGAAAAGATCATGCAAGCTGAAAACAATTATAAAATCTTCAATTTCCCCTGTATGATGTCAACATAATTGTATAAAAAATAAAAAAAAAAAAAAAAAAAACAACTAGATGTCAAAAGAATCTCAATCCAAATCCAAATTCGATAAACCTCGGAAAAAAGTGAAAAAGACAGATTTACAGTCTCCTGAAAAAGTACAAGGAGAGTAAGATATGGGCCCATATTCATGAAACCGTTTTCATGTTCAAACATGAATTTTGTGCTCCAGTTCAAAACTAATAAATAAGGCTGATTTTGCCAAAGATTAAAAAAAATATATATAATGACAGGTCTTCCAGTCAAAGCTATATTCCATGTTTATATTTGACATTTGTATTTTTTTATATGATTTAGGTGATTTATAAAAAAGTTTGCTTGAGCACAAAATCTATGCTTGTGCATGAGAATGGTTTCATGAATACAGGCCTCTTGCTCCGGAAGAGTAAGCCTCTTCTGCTTCATCAAAGACAGCTGCCATGTAAACCTTGATAAATGAAAGTAAGCAATGTCATGCTCACAAACGAGGACAAGGTGTAAAACAACAGAGGCAACAAATAAATTAACGAGCAAAAATGAATTAAAAATGAGATCGCTGTGACGACCTCTAGTTAGGAGATATTATTTAAAGCTCCAGTTATCGTTTTTAACACAGACCAGGAAATTTGTTCAGAAATAGCACATTCTTTCTGCGAGTAATAAATGATTACAATAAGATTGTTTATCAAGAAAAAAACATGTGAGGGTTTCAGCATAATTGACTCCAGTAATAGTTGTAGTAGTTAAAAGAAAGAAAGTGGATTGAAGGGTAAACTACTATGTTTCAGAAATAAAATAAATGATGAAAGACATAAAGAGTGATGGATATTAAAATATGTCGTGTAAAAGTGACATAACGCTGCACAAAATATCTTATACATTTGAAGGTTCAGATACAGTATATATAGAATAAGGAATTTAAAAAATAAATAAAACCCAAAAATAGAATCCAGATATACGAACAAATTTGATATTCATTTATGATATGTCAAACATTCAGAAGGAGAAACAACATATTTTTACCTTCCTCTGAAAATCAATTTTCTTCCTCAGCTCTGAAACTAGAGTCAGTATGGCACCAATTATCGATTCAAGTTACACTATCAATTTCCCTATCAAGCAGTGGGATTCTTGTCATTATCACATTTATCTAGAGTTTTACACAAAACTCTAACCAGATGTCATAGATGGCGACAATGAAAGGAGGATTAAGTTATCACAGATTTGCTACATACATCACGATATCGGTAAGCTATTTTCAGTAATTATCGTTTCCGTCACCTTTTATCGATCGTAGTGTAAATAAATACAAGATGCAAAAGGGCTTTAACGGGCACCTGAGTCGCAAGGATTCTTGTAACATGCTATAGAAATGATTTTGTTAAAAACAAAGTCAGATAACATATTTGACCAATTTTCGGCCTCGTCTATCACTCCATAGGGGTCAGTCGTTGTCAGTTTGTACATCTCATTAAACTGTCAGCTTATTCTATTAAATATAAACAAGTTTGAACTATCTACAAAAGAAAAAAACCAATTATGCTTATAAAAGTGATTTCCTATATAAATTATAATCAATTTACCCCCTCCCTAGGGTAAAGCACCATAAGAAATTTCCTGCAAGAGAGAGTATCTGGGTTTTTTTTTATATTTTGGTATTGTGATGTGTCAATTTGACCATTTCTGGTCTCGTCCGTTACGGCTCCTGTGGGTAATGGACGACACAATTTAGAATTTTGGTGCGACTTTATTCATGGAAGGGTTTTGTAAAATTAATTTTGACATCGGTTCAGGAGTTTTCAAGAAGACGTCGAAAATGTTAAAAGTTTACGACGCACAATGAACGACGCCGTACAAAAGGGGATCGCAATTAGTCGCAATGCCTTAGGTGAAGTATAAATTTACCTGTTTTTATCCCATCTTTGACATTCTTTCGACTTTCGACTTTCCTTGAAGCCCTGCATGGTAGAAGTAGACTCGACACTCGATTCCAGAAATGTTGATTCAGTTGCCAGTTGAAGGAGGTCTGTCCTTTAGCAATCATATCCTTTATATGTGTAATTCCAAAGTTTAAAGCACTTGAGAACATATTAATGTACACCATTGTTATAGCAAGAGCGTACAATGAAATTATGACGGTAATTCCGAACACGTCTAGCTCCAAATCATGGCGGAATTTGATCATTCCGATTGTCATCCGAAACAAAGTTAGAAGACCAGAGGTAACATTTCTGAAGCTACCTTCCACGTGACCATACAGGAGGAATATAAAGCCCGCAAAGCCTACCATTAACGTCGTTAGTAGGGCCGTGAACTGGAATATTTCTTTCCGAAACTTCGTTATAGTGTTATACATCAGGTAAAAATGGTAGTTAAATGACAGATGTTGCAGTAGGTCCAGTATAGCGATACAGGTGGCTGTTCCCAAACACGCAGAAAAGTAATAGTCCCATTGGAAAATATAGCCGAAGGACGAATAGAAACCTGTAACCAATTATAAACAATTACCTATGATAAGAACATCTTAATAAACATCAAAGCTTATACGGTGCAAATATATGTTATAATGGTTCTGGTCCACCATAACCACGAGAATATTTTATAACATTCTAGAAATTTAGCGTGAGGAAAGACATACTTAATATAGTTACATTAACTCTAGGGGGAAATAAACACAACACAGATTTGGAAATACAATTTAAATTTCAACATAAATATGAACAAAACAAATAGTTACAAGGAGATCCATGAATTAAGAGGGAAAACATTAAGCAGACGTTCAAGACGGGAAAGAAGTTTCTGCTTCCTCGATGACACCCTCAATGAGAGTCTTGATCAAATAAAGTAAGTATTCTCATGTCTCCAACTGAGTACAAGCTCTTAACGTGTTAATTATGCGCTTTAGTATAAATGATGATACACTCCGATATATACGAATCATTATTTGTCAAGTGGAGAACTATTTCATACCTGAACTTCACGTCATGCACACGTGTTTGACTGTTCGGAGGATATATCACTATGTATCACTATTTCTTCTGGATAAAAGCAATTAATATTAACCAAATTTTAAACAGAAAATTCTATTTTCTCAGTTTTTCTACTTCGTGAATAATACTACAAAAGTATTCTTACCTATTTCATGCCGAAGGGTATTGAGAATGGCGATTGTGCTGGTGAACCGATTTATTAGAAAGACGATAGCAGCCACTGAAACGACTAGATCGACCAGGTCAACAATCTGGCTAAAGGAGAAGAGCGAGTGTCCCCTTGTTCGTATTACCGTCACAACAAACATCACAATCCGCACCAAAATCACTACAACAAACACAATCTGAACGGCTAAGATTATAAAGTCTGATGGTTCTCTGTATGGATATAGATTAGAAGAAGAAACTCTGTATTCAGGGAATACTCCACCAATACTTGGAAACTCAAACACGATTTCAATTTGACTAAACAACATGTTGTTTCTATTCACAATGCATGCTTCAATAAATACTGCACGAGTTCTGTAATCAAGCCAAGCATTGCTTTGTAGTCTATTTAATACGTCAGTTGCTTTAGAGGGTTCAAAATCCAGGTCAACGAGATAACCACCGCCACCATATGTTCCGAAATGTCCTGAATATGAAGGCGTTTCCTGGGAGTTTTCATTGTGATACCTATACGGAGACATGTGATCTGGTAATGATTCCGAATTGTTACTGGTAATCCAGCCTGTAATAATGTTGAGAAATAAAAAAACACAACATTTGATTATACCAAGTCACCATATAGTTGTTTTTATAAAAGACTTTGTGTTTTGTTCTTACGTTTCTAAAAAAAGTGCCTGTAATTTAAATATTTCAAGTGCTAATTAAAAAAAATTAATACACACACACACACACACACACACACACACACACACATCACCAGCCCAACCAACTACTAAAAAAAACTTCAAAAAACGAACGCCATCTAAGCACACACAAAATCCACATCATATCACAATTATTTGAAAATGCAAACACTATGACGTCAACCAACGGAGCAATATATGAAACAAACACTATCACGTTAAACCAAAACTATTTGTCGCATTACAAAAAAATGACACAACGCAATGGTGTTGAAATCTTACATAAATAATTCAATAGTTTGGAAACAAATACAATCGGAAAATATTGAATAGTCATCAAGAATTATAAAATACACAATGATTGATTTTAATGTTGATTTCAATTGAGTTTTGTGACAAATATACTTTTTGACGACCATATGATTAAACGTTATGTTACTTCTAATTAAGGAAGATACTACATTGGCAAAAGAAATTCTTAATTATTGAATGTTACCTTCAGTGTAGTCCCTCGTGTCTTCAGAATATTCATCAAAGTCAGGAATACATGTTATACCATGTGTCTTCATCACCAATGGGGCGTTACATATGCCTTCAATACAGATATAATGGATTGCAAGTAACTATGCCATCATTTCCGTATTTCAATACATCTTTCAGTTTCACAGTCAGACAAGATATTTGTTGTATTAATCAAATCTTAAGATATCCTACTATCCGACTTAGCAAACTTCTCTGACATCTGATTAATCTTATACTCACAGAACTAAAATCTTACTCCACAATTACAGCAATTCATTCACAACATAGATCATCACTCAAGTAATTATTCAAATTAACACTGCAAAGTTTAACGTCTTGTTATAAAACGTTCGACTAACACTTAAGATGTAGTCTTAAGTCTTACTCCTGATTAAGCCGTTACTCTTACATAAATGTGTACATACATCTACGTCTAGACTTACTTTCTGCTGTTAATCTCAAGTTATATATATGTAGCATATCCCTATCTCCCAAAACTTGGCCTTTTGTTTCCCGACCTTTGAATTTGATATTGTAACATTTGGGCGTACAGTGTGTGGACCTAACACATTGATGTGATGCTGTTGTTGATCATATAACATTCAGAAATGACATAAAAAGTGAATGTAGGAAAAGGTTAAGTTATTCTCGAAATATGTAAATTTATCTATATACGCTAAGTGTATTTCCTATTTTAAGCCATATTTCGCTAGGTTAGAGACATCTATCGGGTATGGACTGAATTATTATACGCACTTGTAAGGATGAGTGTTTTGTTTACGAAGTGTCACACGTGACCAGTCTTAGTGTAGATGCACTCATTTGATATACCCTATATTTGTTAATATTAAATGGATGTCTCTTTTTGTCACGACTATGAATCATCTAAATTCTGACAAATTTTAATTTTCGTTACTGCTATATTATTCTCATTTTCGTATCATTTTGAGAACAAATTATATTTCATATAATTTTTGTTGCCCGGAGCACACCTGTTCGCCACTCTCTGAGATACGAAACTATGCGCTAGAAATTCTAATTCACGCAGGGGATAGTGGTATTTTGAATTGACGAATGAAGACAAAAGTGATATAATCACCGCTCGATTATAAATACACCTGTGATTCCTATTTAGTCATAACTACACTGATGTGTGTGTGTGTGTGTGTGTGTGTGTGTGTGTGTGTGTGAGAGAGAGAGAGAGAGAGAGAGAGAGAGAGAGAGAGAGGGTGTGTGTGTGTGTGTATGTGGTCGACGTAAGCATGGTGCGTAGACGCATTTTTCGATGCGTTGTGCGTTACCAAAAGAGTATTTGTTTACATACTTGAAATTCATAATTATTTGTTTCCATTAACTCCTACTTCAGTAAACCTTACCAGACACGCGAGTCTGACGTATACGTATAGGTCCCATTCTGTAATTAGAGCCAATATATCTTAGTTCATTGAAGGGTTTCACTTCACCATTGTAGAACTCTGTTGGGGAAAGACTCGGTACAACTACGGAGTTTATATAATGCCAGACATCATCCTTGGTACTTATCTGAATAATACATGTAAAATGTGAAATAAAACACAAACAATAACTAAATATTTTCCATCTACAGAAGTAGTTTTTGTGTCTTGCAATGACTTTCAAAGGCACTCCTTTTGACTAGACTGACGATTATTCGTTTACTTATAATTGTTCTCTATCATCATAAATTGTATAACTTTTGGAAAAGTAGCCTTATTTATGAGATTCCAATAAAATAATATATTGATGGCATATATTGCTACAATCCAATTCCGCATATGCATATGTGATATTAACCGTTCTTAGACCGTTATCTGAAAGAACACTTACCATTTGTGAAGATTTCAAGGAATGTTTTAAAAACATGTTTTGTCCAAATACATCAGAAACCTTTTGCTGTGTACAGATCACAAGAAGCATGACGACATACATCAGTCCTAGAAGCAATTTTCTGAAAAAGCTGTTCAGTTCCCTATCCATTTTTAACTTCTGACGACGTTTTCGTTGATCTAATGTTTCTTCTTTATCACAGGGACAGTCAATGCTATCAAGTAATGCATGATCTACAATGCAGAAAGTCAAATTAAATAAACGAAAACGCTGATATATCACTTTTATCTTACCTACAAATGATTAAAGTTAAAAATAAAGGATTTCAGCAATAACAATAGACACCGAAGAGTTATATTTCAGTGTATGCTAAACAGAAAAAAAAGGGGGGTGGAAAAGAGGGAACTTTTTTTTTCTCAATTTCCATCAATTTTGAATTCAGATTACGGTTTTCTAAGCTGTTGATATTTTTTAGTCATTTTTAGAACAACTGTAAAGCATAGCCTAGTCCTGGGTCCGTGAAATGAATAAATATCCTGGTCTTCGGTCACTTACCTGGATTAAAGTCCTCTGGTGGTTTCATTTGTAATGAGGTTGAAGGAATGTTGAAATCATTGTGGTTTGATGAGAAGATGACAACTGTGACGACTGAGATGATAAATGCCTGAAATATGATTCAATTTCAATACATAGGCTAATGCCGAAAAATGAATTGGAATTATCTAGAATATAAAGGGTGGCTTTTCCAGTTAACAGAAAGACAAAATATTGCTTCTATGCAATCTCTAATGATTAAAAGATGAAAGACAAATCGACTGAAGAAACATACTAACATTGTATATTTTGAAGTGAAATGATCCTGCAATGCAATTTCATTATATAGTAACTCATGTGAATTTTAATTAAGCAATCAGAATGCTTGCCCTTATTAAAGGTATGTTGGTAACTAGAGTTTCACGTTTGTAGATTAAATTCGTCTATGATACATATATAATTGTATCGAGATTATCCCAATACTTGAAGAAAAGTAATCAAAATGTTCCAAAGAAATTCTAGTTTTAAAGCAATAGTAGGTTGATTCCATGTCTTGTAGTTGTTGGTTTTAAAGAATGTTTATATATATAGATGTGTTTGCCTATGTGGATAAG